TCCGCGGAACTCGCATGGCATCACCTCAAATGTCTCTATCAAGCAAACAACAGCGTGACACAAAGCAGACTCATGCAACAACTGACAACAGTACACATGAAGACCGGGGAAAAGGCGATGCAGTATATGAGTCGCTGCCAGACCCTCCGCGACCGTCTGCTTCGGTGCGGAGGAACAATCACTGAAGAAAGCTTCGTGACGCTTGTCCTCGCCGGGCTCGGGCCAGAATGGAGAACCACACGCTCGCTTCTTCGCGCCCACGGAAGGATATCGGAGATGCACCTCTGCGCCGAGCTTCACGCTCAACAACAGGAGATGGACCTGTTCGAAGAAAGACAACCAAGGAAGCAGCAGCAGTTAGTTTTCTACACTCAACGAAGAAACGACAACAACTACAATCGACGCGGCAAACAAGATCAACGCGACAACAGAGGACTCACCTTCGTGCCACCGTTCTGCCACAACTGTCAGACTTCCGGACATTCCAAAGTCAACTGCACACGTCCTCGTGTTTATCGTCCAGTAGACCCACACGTCGCCTCCACTCAAGAAAGCCCTCCAAGGCGCTCTTCCACATCTGCACAAGGGACACCAAACATCATTAACTGCATGGTACACATCGACAAGTGCGCACCCGGATCACCACCCACTTACGCACCAGACGAAGAAGAACTTCCGCCGCGCTCACAAGGACTTCAGGTCAACCCGACATACGCTGCGGTCGCCAACGCCGAACCCACCGGGCGAAATACTTGGTTCTTGGACAGCTGCTGCGGTCAACACATGTGTTCTTCCGGACGCTTCGTGCAACGAGAGCGACGCCTCAACCGCGATGTCATCATCACCGTCGCCAACAACGAAAACCTGAAAATAAACAGACAAGGCGTGGTTCAGTTACAATCCATGGAGACAAACGTTATACTTCAAATCAACAAGGTCCTCATCGTCGACAACTTGGGATACAACTTACTAAGCGTAAGCCAGCTAATGGCAAAAGGGATTCACCTGGAGTGCGACTCCTACTCCAACGAGTTTCGCCTTTACCACGGGAAGGGCGGTCTCTTCATCGGTCGTGCTCTCCTGAAGTCCGGCGTCTTCGTGTTGGACTTCGTCCCCGACCGCGGTACTGCCGACAGCGACGGAATCGTGTCGTTCACCGCCTGGACACACCCGCCGGATCTTGACTCTGACTTCAATCCCGATGGATTCTGGTACTCCAACACCATACCTGCAGCAGAGAGAACACGACCATTAGCAGTCATCCGACAAGAAAGACAAGTACCAGCAAGTGTCACTTCCCAACCATCACCTGCAGTAGCAGCAGCAAGACCCAGCCGAGTACCACCACCAGCGATCCGAGGACCACCAACCGAAGCAGATCAACTTATGCCCATCACACGAGAAGTCTGTCAAAGTCCCGCCACAGTCGTCGCGTTCTTCTCCAACACCGACATATACCACCGCTCGCCCGGCCATCGCGCTCCCGACGACATCTGGCACCAACGACTCGGGCACCCTGCAAACAGTACAATACTACAAACCATCCAAGCCGAAGTGTTAGAACGTAACGCTCTCCTAACAACAAGCGGCCAAGAACTTCGACGACCACGCGCACGTTGCTTTACGTGCCCCGAAGCTGATCTTCCCCACCAGTCTTTCCCATCTCATCACAACCCAAGCGCACCTGCATACGCACAGATGGAAAAAGTCTACAGCGACATTTTAAACATGCCTCGAGAAGACACTGAAGCCGAGTTCAACTATGTCATCACGTTTATCGACGCAGCAACAAGATACGTCTGGCACTACAACCTCAAGACGCGCGACCAAGCCTTCGACGCCTTCACGACATGGCTCCCCATCGCCGAACGAGAATCAGGAACCAAGCTCAAGAGCTTCCAGTCAGACGGTGCACTGGAATACCAGTCACAACGCTTCAGGACCTATCTGGCGGAAAGAGGAATCAGACGCCTGGTGTCTCTGCCCTACGCTCACCAACAGCAGGGGGTCGCAGAACGCATGAACCGGACCTTGCAGACGACAATGCGAAAGCTGCTCCTGGGGATGAGACTGCCCACCACACTGTGGCCAGACGCGATGACATATGCAGTCCACCTGCACAACCTGCTGTCCTCGTCATCGCTTCCCAACAACGCATCACCGCACCTGCTGTGGACACAAAAAAGGGGCAGCACAAAATTACTTCGAGTTTTCGGTTGCATGGTACAGTACAGACCCCACTCAGCCAGAGCAGGACGTTTCACTCAACGAGCAAGATGGGGGCTACACCTCGGCATCGCACAACATTTTCACGCATGGAAAATCCTCGACATACAAGACAAAAATACAGTGGCATCACGTGATGTTATCTTCTACGAGCGACTGACGCTGCAGCATTACCTAGACAACATTGCCAACACACATGACCCCACCGACGGCTTCGCGGGCCTTCGTTCCTTCGTCGACCGTGATGCCGAGGCTGACGCAGCAGAAGAAGACGTACCTCGAGCCTCGGAAACTGCCGGACCACTCCCTTTCTGTTCCGTACCTGTTCCACTCGATGAAGACAATCCCCTCAATAGCAACAACCTCGACACCTTTTACCACTCCGCTGACCAAGGTTACGTTACACCCCACCCCGTCGACACAAATGTTTCAGAACGCATCGGCCCAAACTTCTTACCTGATCCAGAAGATGGTGACGAAGCAGCCTATTCCGGGAATGAAAATTCCCCTCGACACACACCCACGGGCCTGCAGATACTTGGATTATGGGTCTCCGTCCAGCACCCACCACCGCCATCTCCGCGCGAGCCCTCGACTCTGTCGCAGGCTCTGGGGGGGGAACATAAGGCGAAATGGAAGGAGGTGATGGAAAAGGAGTTAAAGGCTCTGCAAGACCGAAATACATGGAAGCTGGTACCTGCAACAAGCATCAACGGGAAGAATGTCCTCTCGGGAAAATGGGTGTACCGCATCAAGACCAATGCGGACGGTTCCACCGAACGATTCAAAGCTCGATGGGTCGTACGAGGGTTCGATCAACGATACGGAACCGACTACACAGAAACATTCGCCCCAGTCTCCCGTCACACCTCATTGCGCATCCTACTCGCCGTCGCGGCCACGAAGAAACTACCACTGCGCCAAATCGACGTCGCAAATGCTTTCCTGTACGCACCTGTGGACGCTGAGATCTTCGTCGAGCAACCCCACGGATTCATCGACGACCCCACGAAAGTATGCCAACTGATAAAATCCCTATACGGGATTAAGCAAGCCCCGCGGCTCTGGCAGCAGCATCTTTATGGTCGCCTCGTAAAAATCGGATTCCTACAGCTGCCGCATGACCAAGGCATGTACCGACTGCAACAAGGAAGAGAATATATCCTACTCATCGTTTACGTCGACGACCTGCTCTACATCAGTTCCACTACCGACATCGCCACCTGGTTCGAAGGGGAGCTGAAAGAGGACCTGACACTCACGGTGTCCGACGCAGTGACCCAGTACCTGGGACTGAATGTCGTCGAAGACAACTCGGCGCTCTACCTACACGCTGGAAAGTACGCAGGCACTGTCGCGAAGAAATTCGGTCTAACGCCGACTACGGTCCCGACTCCCTACCGCTACGGGAACAACAACAGCACCTCCGCAAAACTCCCCGCGAAGCAAATCCAGGAGTATCAGCAGAAGCTCGGCTGCCTACTATTCGCAGCAGTAACCTGCCGACCCGATCTCTCTTACAGCGCGAGCCAACTGGCGACGCATCTGAAGCAGCCGGAACAAGAAGATCTCGAGGAACTTAATCGGGCACTACTCTACTTCGTCTATACGCCGACGACCGGGCTCACCTACAGCAAAGTAACGACACCGTCCGTACGACTACTCGGATACGTCGACGCCGACCACGCGGGAGACAAGGAAAATCGACGTTCGAGAACGGGCTACATCTACCGACTAGAACCTATCGGAACTATCTCCTGGCAGTCGAGCAAGCAGGAACTAATCGCACTATCTTCGGCTGAAGCAGAATATATCGCCCTCTGTACTGCGACCAAGGAAGGACTCTACCTACGAGAGCTGCTAGAGGAAGCGAAGATTGCGACCCTGCCCGTCTTCTCACTCCTCTGCGACAACCAATCTGCGATAAAAATCGCGAACAAGGACGGCTTCGCCAACCGAACCAAACACAACGCCCTGCGGTACTTCTTCGTCAAGGATGAAATCGCGAAGGGGAGACTTCAACTCAGTTAATGCCCTACGACAGAAATGGCCGCAGACTATCTGACGAAGAAATTGGCGAAGGCAAAATTCGATTACTGCATGTTGCTGACCGGGCAGACAAACGTCACCGGATCTGAACACGTCAGCACTCCAGAAACGAAGGGGAGTGTTGGAAATGTCTCAAAGGACTTAAGCGTTTCTGAAGTGTAACACTACACTCGAAGAAGATCGCAACAGGTAAGCGAGTCAACGGAGGTTACACGAGGGGGTGTGCAAAGAACGCGAAGGGACTCGAAGGGTCGCAACTGGAGGTTGCGACTGACCGTTACAACAGCGCGGATGGTAACCGAAGCGACAATCGAGTCGCTGTGCGACTCGATAACCGCTCGTGCAACTGTATTCTACAACTGCTTTACTTTCCTATTTTCTATATATTGCTGTATGCTTGTTTCTTTAATCAATCACTTGTTCTCATATACTAGTACAAGGGTTCAACTACTCAACTTCCGCTGCACTACTCAAGCCTTATTCTTCAACTGGGACTTAGTCTCTGGAAAGATCCTAAGGGCTTTTCTCAGCCCAACATGTATTGTAACAGAATCTGGATTTTGTGCACCAGCTTTGAGGTTAGGTTAGGCAGATATTACGCTTTATAAAGCAGCGCGTTACTTAGATGGTAAATGTCAGCTGGACGTCGGTTATGGTGTGTTACGCGACCATGATTACATTACACTAAATCCCGAAGTCATTTTGGCGCGCTGTTTTCCTTCCCACGCTGTTCTTGCTCGACATGCTTTGGAGACGAGCCCCTTCCCTCCCCGCAATTTCCGCAGCAGCAGCCACGTCATCCATTTCCCTCATCGCGCCACGTGGACTGCCACAAATTCGTTCATTGTACAGCCCGTGGGCCGTATTCCAGGCAGAAGCCATAAATTCCGTTATTGTCACTCCCCTTTCATCGCCGCAACGCCCAATTCTTCCGCCACGTGCGATGGCCACATCGGCAGGCTCCGTGACGTCAGCATGTCGTCGTGCCGTTTCCGCTGTTCTTACCCGCGCTGACGTCAGCAAGAGTGCCGTCAGCAGGTCTGACGTCAGCTGTTTTGCCAGCGGTGCGCGAACGAAGCAATCATTGCATCAAAGGCTCGGTTGGCATAGTAGCGCCGGTTTTTCCGGGAGCTGGACATGTGGCGTCGAGGGAGTGGGCACTGAGAGGCCGTTTACCAGAGGCGTGGGGCTCAGAAGGTTCCAGGTGGTTTCGCCGGTGTGCATGGGACGGCGATCGTCGAAAATCGCGACACGCAAGGTGCGACGCATTCGCCAGTAGCGGCGGGAACAGCGAAAAAGGAGGGGAAATGGGAAAGGCGGGGGAGGGGGAGGGGGGGGGGAAGGCTTGGGAGGAAGAATGAAGGGTTTGGGGTTTGGGGGATGATGTGAGAATTGCAAAATGCAAGGTGCGGAAAATCTCAAGTTGGAAGTGTTCTGAAGGGAGCTGGAGCTAGAAGGGGGGATGGAAGGCGCAAGGAAGGGGGGAAGACGTGGGGGGGGGGGGGGACGGGGGGAGTTTGATGAGGTGTTCTGAGGGGAGCTGGAGCTAGAAGAGGGGCTGGAAGGCGCAAGGAAGGGGGGAACCGGGGGGGGGGGTGGGGGGGAGGAGGGTAGTTGAAGTGTTCTGAGGCTATGTTGCAAAAAGCGTTTAAACGCTGAACGCGCAGGAGCCAGGGGGTAAACGCCAGGAAAACGATAGGTCGGGCAGGGCAAAAAAATCTCTCGGGCAGGGCGAAAATCTACGGTTTTCAGGCGGGGGGAAAGGGGAGGTGCAGAGCACGAAATGCTCACCTCCAACAAGGGTTTTTTAAGTCAAGGATTGTCATAATTCAGCCCATAATGAGTTTCAACCAGAATCTAAAAGGGCGCTTAGACTCCTGTCTAGGTCTAGATCGTAGAGACTAAGTAGTGCTAACTGTGTGACAGGGAGCTCTGAGGGTAGGAGCGTGTAGTGCGCCAGATCTGTGAAAGTGACGATAGACTTGTTTCTGGTGAGTAGTAGTCTGTGCGGAGTGGTGGTTGGGTTTCCTATATGAGATGGAGTGGAGAGCGGTTGAAGGAGTTTTTGGTGTTTGGTTAGCATTTGAACCTGCAAATCAAATTTCGCAATGTGGCGAAGTTCCTGCTTGGATTCGCCACATCGCGAACAGTCGCACAACTTTTCCGTTTTTTTTTTTTCGTCGGGCTGCCCTGAATAAAGAAGGCGAGCGGTTGCGTTTTTCTAGCGCTTTAGCGTTTTGCGTTTAAAGCCCTGGGTCCGGATTGTCCAAAACTTAAGCAGTTAAACACCGCTTCAAGTGTTTAACAAACCTCTCTTCTTGGACAATCCGGACTGCGGGCTTTAAACGCCACCGTTGAAACGCAAAACGCTCACTTGCCAGAGCTTTTTTTGCAACATAGTTCTGAGGGGATCTGGAGCTAGTAGAGGGGATGGAAGGCGCAAGGAGGGGGACAGGGGGAGGGGGAACGGGGGAGGGAGGAGGGGGGAGGAGGGTGGGGGAGAGGGGGGGGGGGGGAGTTTGATGAGGTGTTCTGAGGGGCGCTGGAGCTAGCAGAGGGGTTGGAAGGCGCAAGGAAGGGGGGAAATAGAGTGGGGGAATTGGGGGCCATGGGGAGTTTGACGAGGAGTTCTGAGGGGAGCTGGAGCTAGCAGAGGGGTTGGTTGGAAGGCGCAAGGTAAGGGGGGAGTGGGGTTGGGGGGTTGGGGGGGGGGGAGTTTGATGAGGTGTTTTGAGGGGAGCTGGCTGGCGCTAGATGGAGGCGCAAGGAAAGGGGGGAACTGGGGGGAAGAGGGGGGGAAGAGGGGGGGGAAGAGGGGGGGGAGAGATTGATGAGGTGTTCTGAGGGGAGCGGGAGGGAAGGCACAATGGAGGGGGGAGCGGGGATGGGGATTGGAGGGGGGGGGGGTTTGATGAGGTGTTTGAGGAGAGCTGGCGATAGAAGGGGGAATAGAGGCGCAAGGAAGGGGGAACGGGGGGGAGGGGGGTGGGAGAGGAGGGGGAGAGTTGATGACGTGTTTTGAGGGGAAGGAGAGCCGAAGAGGGGAAGAAAAGCGCAAGGTGAGGGGAAGCAGTCAGTAGGAAACGGGCAGAAGGTGCAGGTGGAAGGGGGAAAGCGGGGGGAATGGGGCAAGGGGGGAAGAGGGGAAGGGGGGAGGATGGGAGCTGGCGCTAGAAGGGGGGATGGAAGGCGCAAGGTGGGGGGAACCAGTCAATAGGAAATGGGCAGGAGGCGCGGGCAGGGAGGGGAAAGAGCAGAAGGGGAACGTTGGGAGGGGGAGGGAAGGGGGAAGGGGGAGGGAAGGGGGAGGGAAGGGGGAGGGAAGGGGGAGGGAAGGGGGAGGGAAGGGGGAGGGAAGGGGGAGGGAAGGGGAGGGAAGGGGGAGGAAAGGGGGAGGAAAGGGGGAGGGAAGGGGGAGGGAAGGGGGAGGGAAGGGGGAGGGAAGGGGGAGGGAAGGGGGAGGGAAGGGGGGGGAAGGGGGGGGAAGGGGAGGGAAGGGGGAGGGAAGGGGGAGGGAAGGGGGAGGGAAGGGGGAGGGAAGGGGGAGGGAAGGGGGAGGGAAGGGGGAGGGAAGGGGGAGGGAAGGGGGAGGGAAGGGGGAGGGAAGGGGGCATGGGTTTGGGGGGGGGAGTTGAAGAGGTGTTTTGAGGGGAGGGGGGAACGGGTGGGGGGAGGGGGGAGGGAAGTTGATGAGTGTTCTGAGGGGAGCTGGCGGTGGAAGGGGGGATAGAGGAACGGAAGGGGAATGGGGGAAGGGGAGGGAAGGGCGGAACGGGTGGGGAGGGGAGCTGGCGCCAGAAGGGGTGATGGAAGGCGCAAGGTGAGGGGAACCAGTCAAAAGTATAAAGGGGGAAGGAGCAGAGGCGGAATGGGGTAAGCGGGAGGGAAGGGGGAAAAGGGGGGGGGGGAAGGGAGGGGGAGATGATCAAAGGGGAATTGCAGAAGAGGGCTGATGAGCAGTGATTGAGATGAGTCGGAGTGGGTTAGATGGGGCTGAGACTGGGGCGGAGCGGAGGGGAGGAACCCAGTTTCAGCTGGTCGCCCATCCCAACCTGCTTGGGTTCAGCGACTGGGCTCCTCCGCTCCGCCCCAGTTTCAGCGACTGGGTTAAGTTAAGCGAAGCAGGCTGGGAGGGAGGCAAAGGTGATGCTGAGGCGCCCTTCAAATGCTTGGGCTCATCAACTGGGTTCCTCCGCTCCGCCCCAGTTTCAGCTCCGCATCCACTGGGTTAAGTTAAGCGAAGCCGGCTGGGAAGGGACGGAAGCAAAGCTGATGCTGAGGCGCCCTTAAGACCGCATTGGAAAAGGAAGGGACAGGCCTGGGTTTTCTAGTATTTTCAGAAAACCATCATGGCTGAACTGTTGGGGGCCGAGTTTTGAGGCCCCTTGATTGTTTTGAGGCGCCTTGATTAGAGTTTTATTGCCCCTTGAATTCGGCCGCCAAAGGTCCGACCCAGCCCAGCCCTTAGAAGCGCTTTGGAAAGGTAGCCATTCGGGCTGGGCCGGGCCATTCGGGGCCGAACCTGGAACCTGGAACCTGGAACTCTGGTTTGATGCACCTGATAGTGTGTCCAAGCGGCTGTGATTGCGAATACAAGGACCCAGGACGTGAAGGCTTAGGGTCTTAGAGGGGTTTCAGGTTTCAAAGTCTTCGGGTTTTTGGTCCGTAGCTCCGATCCACTTCTCTACCCAACCCCCCACTCTCCCCTCCCTCCTCCCCGTTAAATAAATACTGTCTTGTACTCAGAATGCACAGGATGCACGCAAGTCGAAGCTGTATGGCAAAGTCGGCAAGCAAATCATATCTGCGTGAGTTTTGCATCTCCTGCTCTCGTTAGTGGCTGCTTTTTTTTTCTGTTAGCTTCGTGTAACTTGTATCCGCACTGCACCCGTTTTCGTTGTTTCTTACATCATTCATAAGTGGCTCAACGAGGCGTTGAACTAGACTAGATCACTTATGAATGGCTTTTTAAACTCCAAATTTCACATCAACGATGGTATAGGTCCACATCTTAGCATGGAGGAAGGTGGGCCCAGCCCTGCCAGCGAGGCGTGGCCCATCGAACTAGATCACTCATGAATGGCTTTTTAATCTTCCAAATTTCACATCAGCAATGGCATAGGTCCTCATCTCATCTTAGCATGGAGGAAGGTGGGCCCAGCCCAAACCTGCCAGCAACACAGCACTGGCAGGCAGCACTGCTGATGGCGGCTAAACGACCCCGGGGGAAAGGCCGGTTCTGTCACAGTGATCGTCCGACCTGTCTCTTCTCTCGGCGCTGTGTTGCTTGCGTGAGACTGTGAAGGCGGGTGGGCCCAGCCCAGCCCTGCCAGCAACATAGCGTAGGCAGGCAGTGCTGCTGGTGGCGGCTAAACGACCCCGGGGGAAAGGCCGGTTCTATCACAGTGATCGTCCGACCTGACGCTTCACTAAGTGCTGTGTTGCTTGCGTGAGACTGTGAATGCGGGTGGGCCTCGCCCAGCCAGCAACAAGCCCTGGCAGCACTGCTGGTGGCGGCCGAGCAGGGGGGAGTGCCCAAAGATGTGATAGGAGGGGATAGAGGTACTACCAACCTCGTCCCCCCTCCCATCCCCTGCTTTCCTGTTCGTATCTCTCCACCTCCCTTTTCATTCAGTGCGAAGCAGGTGGCCCCAGTCCGGTCAGCAACTCAGCACTAGCAGCGCTGCTGGTGGCGGCCAAGCAGGGGGGAGCGCCCAAAGACATGATTGTTATTGTCCGACGTGTCCTTTCTCTCTGCGCTCTTTCCCCTCTTCCTGTTCTTCTCTCTTCCTTTCCCTCCTGTGTCAAGGCTGGCGGGCCCAGCCCTGCCAGCAACTCAGCGCTGGCAGCACTGTCTGGTGGACGGCAAGGCAGGGGGGAGTGCCCAAGGATGTGATCGATCGGAGGTAACAACCTCTCTTCTACCCTCCCCTGTCCTTCCCCCCTCTCCCTTCAGTGTGAAGGCGGGTGGCCCTAGTCCGGCCAGCAACTCACAACTAGCAGCACTGCTGGTGGCGGCCAAGCAGGGGGGAGTGCCCAAAGACGTGATCGACCGGAACATCAAAAGGGCAACGGAAAAAGGGCAGGCGGATTTTACAGAGATTGTTTATGAGGTGAGTGCAAGGAAATGTGATGATATGTGACTGTAATGGGATGTGAGTGTAATGAGATGGTAACAAAAAGCAGGGGGAGTGCCCAAGGAGGTTATCGATAGGAACATCAAAAGGGCGACAGAGAAATGGCAGGCGGTTTTCACTGAGATTGTCTATGAGGTGAGTGAGTGTGAGAGTAATGGAAGGGCATCAAAAGGGCAACGGAAAAAAGGGCACGCAGATTTCACTGAGATTTTTTGTGAGGTGAGAGTTCTGGAATGTAACATTGTAACGAGGCGACTTTTGAGTCGAGTCAAAAAATTGTTGCGGGAAAGTGTAACGAGTCGACTTTTTGGGTCACTAAAAGTCACTTCGGGGCAATGTTTGTGAGGTGAGAGTTCTGGAATGATGACTGTAGACGGTAACAAAACCCCTTATAGTGGGCATAGTAGTGGAGGTGCTAAATGACAACAACGCCCGGGCGGCAGCTACAGTATCTATGATAATTTGTGCACACCTCATGTACACTACGCCCGATAAAATAATGTATTCAGATTTATGGACTCGGAGGCGTGGGCATAGTCGTGGACGTGCTAACAGACAACAATGCCCGGGCAGCAGCTACTGTGCGCGATGTGGTGCGGAAGGGAGGGGCCAAGATGGCCGACCCAGGCTCCGTGCTCTTCAACTTCAAGAGGTGCGCTCTTGAATCCGTAATGAGCGTGTTTCCTTTTCAAGTGGTGTGCACTAGACCACTATCTTCTCTGTACGATTAACCCCCATTGTATAAAAAAGCACCAGCTACCATCCGAAATTTGGGGCAGCTACAGCGGGGGACGTGGTGCTTAAAGCCGGCGTCTACATTGGAGGGGGTCCCTGGTGTAGGATTAGGATTTTTGGGGGGCTTGGGCTGCGTGATTGGCTGACGAGAGAGGCGAGGCGGGGAAACTAGCGATGGAAAAAGCGATCATCGCAAAAGTCGTGATTGTGGGGAAGGGGAATTGAATTTGGAGGGGGAGGGGGGGAATCGAAATAGAGGGGGAGGGGGAATCCACCTTTTCGGGGGCGGGGAGGGGGGAGGGGGGGGAAATAGCGGAAACGAAATCGGGGAGAGGGGGGGAATCGAAATTGGGGGGAGGGGCAGAATCAAAATCTGGGGTCACGGGGCGGAAATTGAGAGTGGGGGGCAGGCAAGGGGGAATCGATATTTTGGGGCTGGGCGGATTTGAAAATGGGGAGTGCTCCCAGCTTTGGGGGGGCGGCAGGATGGGGCGTGCAAAATCTGTCCACAATTGCTGCTGAGGCGTTTTCCAAATGTTTTGAAAGGGGTGGCGAGCTTGCAGGAACTCTAGCTCAGAACACCATGCTACCAATTTTTAAATGTTTCGGTTTGAAAATCATAACCACAAATATAGACACGGGCGTCAAGGGAGGGGCCAAAGTGGCTGGCTCTGGCTCTGTGCTTTTATCAAATTTCAAGAGGTGTGCTCTTGAATGACTGGAGGTCTTCCTTCTTCCATCTTAACTGCATATCCTCCCTCCCTCCGATCGTTATTCCCATCAGGTGGGGCGTATTAGCCATCCCTGCAGCCACATATCCCCAAACTTCCCACCAGGCAAGGCGTGTTGGCCGTCCCTGCAGCCACAGCAGACCCGGACGAGGTGCTCGTGGTGGTGGTGGTGGTGGTGGTGGTGGTGGTGGTGGGTAGATCACCCTCCTTTCATCTGATCCATACATCCACTTTCCCCCCTTCCATTGTGATTCCCACCAGGCAAGGCGTGTTGGCCGTCCCTGCACCCAGCAGAGGTGGTGGCGGTGGATGCATGCTGACTCATCCATCTCTTATCTCTCCTCTCCCTCCCGTTACAATCACTTCCAGGCAGGGTATTCTGGCCGTCCCTGCAGCCACAGCGAACCAAGACGAGGTGCTGGTGGTGGCGGATTCAGGGCGGATGACACGCACTCTCCCTTACCCCCCATCCCCTCCCCCCCCCCCCGCCCCCACATATCCCCATAATTACCACCAGGCAAGGCGTGTTGGCCGTCCCTGCAGCCACAGCAGACCCGGACGAGGTGCTGGTGGTGGCATTAGATTTAGGGGCGGACGACACACACCCTCCCTTACCCCCCCCTCCTCTCCCCGCCCCCCTCCCCAACATATCCCCAATCTTCCCACCAGGCAAGGCGTGCTGGCCGTCCCTGCAGCCACAGCAGACCCGGACGAGGTTCTCGTGGTGGCGGTGGATTCAGGGGCGGATGACGTCATCAACCCTGGGGAGGACGTGGCAGGGGGAGGGGGAGAGCACGGAGAGGAGGGCGAGGAGGAAGAACAGTGAGTGTGGCAGGGAGTGCTAGCTGTATTATCATGCAAGTGGTAATTGGGGGGGGGGAGGGGAGGACGTGGCAGGGGGAGGGAGAGAGCACGGGGAGGAAGGGGAGGAGGAAGAACAGTGAGCGGGCTTGGGGGATGCTACCTTCGGGTCGTGTTTTTTACAGGGCAGGGGGAGGGGGAGCAGGAGGACACAGAAAGGAAGGTGAGGAGGAAGAACGGTGAGTGAGCTTGGGATGCTACCTTCGGGTCGTGTTTTCTACAGGGCAGGCAGGGGGAGGGGGAGAGCATGGGGAGGAAGGAGAGGAGGAAGAACAGTGAGTGGGCTCCTTCGGGTCGTGTTTTTTCCAGGGTAGGGAGAGCAGGAGAGCACGGGGAGGAAGGGGAGGAGGAAGAACAGTGAGTGGGCTTGGGATGCTACCTTCAGGTCGTGTGCTTTACAGGGCAGGGGGAGGGGGAGCAGGAGGACACGGGGAGGAATGACAGGAGGAAGAAGGGTGAGTGGGCTTGGGGGATGCTATATTCGGGTCGTGTATTTTACAGGGCAGGGGGAGGGGGAGCAGGTGGACACGTAGAGGAAGGGGAGGGCGAAGAACAGTGAGTGTGCTTGGGGGATGCTACCTTTGAGTCGTGCTTTTTACAGGGCAGGGGCAGGGGAAGCAGGAGGACACATAGACGAAGGGGAGGAGGAAGAAGGGTGAGTGGGCTTGGGGGATGCTATCTTCGGATCATGTGTTTTACAGGGCAGGGGGAGGGGGAGGGCATGGGGAGGAAGGAGAGGAGGACGTACAGTGAGTGTGCTTGGGGGATGCTACCTTTGAGTCGTGTTTTTTACAGGGCAAGGGGGAGGTGGAGGGGCACGGGGATGAAGGGGAGGAGGAAGAACAGTGAGTGGGCTTGGGATGCTACCTTCGGGTCGTGTATTTTACAGGGCAGGGGGAAGCGGAGGGGCACGGGGAGGAAAGGGAGGAGGAAAAACAGTGAGTTGGTGGGGATTGTGCTGTCCTGTAGCGTTTTCTTGGTTCGATTTTGAGTTAACGGAACAGTGAGTTGGCGGGGATTGAGCTGTCCTGTAGCGTTTTCTCGGTTCGAAGTTTAATAAAATGGTGGATGCATGGGCGGATGACGTCATCAACTCTGGGGAGGACGTGGCAGGGGGGGAGCATGGGGAGGAGGGCGAGGAGGAGGCGCAGTCAGTGGGCAGGGAGTGCTATATGTGTTGGCAGGGAGTAATGTTTGTGTAGCTGTGCAAGGGGGAGTCAGGAGTACTCTCTGTTTGATCGTGCCTGGGGCAGGGCAAGAGCACAGGGAGGAGGGCGAGTAGGAGGCGCAGTAAGTGGGCAGGGAGTGCTGCTTGTGTAATCGTGCAAGGGGGAATTAGGGAGAGGGCAGTGAGTTGGCAGGGAGTGCTATTTGTGTCATGGTGGAAGAAGGAATTAGGGAGAGGTAGAATGTTAGGCAAAGAGCACGGGGAGGGGGGCGAGGAGGAGGGGCAGCAAGTGTGGCAGGGAGTGGAAGGTGAGGGTGAGGGCATGGGGGAGGAAGGAGAGGAGGACAGGCGGTAAGGGGCAAGGGGCAATCAGGGGGAAGGGAGAGCACGGGGAGGAAGGAGAGGAGGACAGGCGGTAAGGGGCAAGGGGCAATCAGGGGGAAGGGAGAGCACGGGGAGGAAGGAGAGGAGGACAGGCGGTAAGGGGCAAGGGGCAATCAGGGGGAAGGGAGAGCACGGGGAGGAAGGAGAGGAGGACAGGCGGTAAGGGGCAAGGGGCAATCAGGGGGAAGGGAGAGCACGGGGAGGAAGGAGAGGAGGACAGGCGGTAAGGGGCAAGGGGCAATCAGGGGGAAGGGAGAGCACGGGGAGGAAGGAGAGGAGGACAGGCGGTAAGGGGCAAGGGGCAATCAGGGGGAAGGGAGAGCACGGGGAGGAAGGAGAGGAGGACAGGCGGTAAGGGGCAAGGGGCAATCAGGGGGAAGGGAGAGCACGGGGAGGAAGGAGAGGAGGACAGGCGGTAAGGGGCAAGGGGCAATCAGGGGGAAGGGAGAGCACGGGGAGGAAGGAGAGGAGGACAGGCGGTAAGGGGCAAGGGGCAATCAGGGGGAAGGGAGAGCACGGGGAGGAAGGAGAGGAGGACAGGCGGTAAGGGGCAAGGGGCATCAGGGGGAAGGGAGAGCACGGGGAGGAAGGAGAGGAGGACAGGCGGTAAGGGGCAAGGGGCAATCAGGGGGAAGGGAGAGCACGGGGAGGAAGGAAGGGAGGACAGGCGGTAAGGGGCCAGGGGCAATCAGGGGGAAGGGAGAGCACGGGGAGGAAGGAGAGGAGGACAGGCGGTAAGGGGCAAGGGGCAATCAGGGGGAAGGGAGAGCACGGGGAGGAAGGAAGGGAGGATAGGTGGTAAGGGGCAAGGGGCAATCAGGGGGAAGAGAGAGCACGGGGGGGAGGGCGAGGAGGGGGCGGAGTAAGTGTGGCAAGAAGTATTATTCATGGGTTGGTTCGTGTTGTGGCAGGGAGTATGATCATGCAAGGGGTAATTGGGGGTCCCAAGGGGGGGGAGGGGAGGGTGAAAGCACAGGGAGGAGGGCGAGGAGGAGGCGCAGTAAGTGTGGCAGGGAGAGGAAGGTGAGGGTGAGGGCACGGGGAGGAAGGAGAGGAGGACAGGCGGTAAGGGGTAAGGGGCAGTCAGGGGAAGGGGAGGGCACTGAGAGGAGGGCGAGGAGGAGGCGCAGTAAGTTGGCAGTGAGTACTGTTTGTGTAATCGTGCAAGTGGGTACTTAGGGAGAGAGTTGTAAGTTTGTCAGGGGGGCTATTTGTGTAAACGTGGAAAGGGGAGTTAGGTCTACTAGTTGTATGCCCGTGCAAGGGGCAATGATGGGAAGAGCAGGAGCACTGGGAGGAGGGCGAGGAGGAGGCGCAGTAAGTTTGGCAGGAAGTGGTGTTGTAATGGTGCAAGGTGGAACTAGGAGTATTTTTTGTGTAGTTGTGCACGAGGCAAGTAGAGAGAGGGCAGCAGCACTGGGAGGAGGGCGAGGAGGAGGTGCAGTGAGTTTGGCAGGGAGTACTGTTTGTGTAATGGTGCAAGGGGCAAATACAGCAAGGGGCAAGTAGAGAGAGGGCAGCAGCACTGGGAGGAGGGCGAGTAGCAACAACAGTGAGCTGGTGGGGGCAAGGGTCCTGTAGAGCTCTTACATGATAGACTGTCCCTTAGTCTGAAAGGGTGTTGTAGAAGCACATGATGTGAGCAACCCTGGGAAGGTGAAGGCAGGGGGCGGATGATGCATTCAACCCTCTTCCCTCCCACCCCAGCTTCTTCCAGCGGACGCAGCAGAAGCATTCACCTCATTTCTCACTCCAGGGGAGTCCTTCGCCTCCGTGCGTGCACAGCTGCAGGAGTACGGCCTCATTGTGGATGCGGGCCACTTACCTCCCTCCCTCCCACCCTTCTCTCCCCTTCCAAGTTCTTCTCCCCTCGCAGGTTCTTCCAGCACAATCATTCGCCTCGGCTGGCTGCATAAGACTCCATCTACGACTCCAGCACAATCATTCGCCTCGGTGCGCGCAGGAGTACGGTCTGACTGTGTGGATGCCAGCCTGTTACCCCACCCTACCATCATCCTCTTTCCTCTCACCTCTTCTCTTCTTGCATCCCCCCGCAGGTTCTTCCGAGTGCTCACTCCAGCGAAGTCCTTTGCATCAGTGTGCGCTCACCTGCAGGAGTACGGCCTCACTGTGGACGTGCACTATTTACCACATCCCTTCTTATGCGTTCTCTCCCCTGTCCTCCCTGTCACCCCTTCGTCCCCTCCCCTCCCCCCCAGGTTCTTCCGAGTGCTAACCCCAGCGGAGTCCTTCGCCTCAGTGCGCGCTCAGCTGCAGGAGTACGGCCTCACTGTGGATGCCGAGCATTCAGGCCTCATGTTCATTCCCACCGCCAGGATGCAGGTAGGCATTATGTAGGGTTGTGTGGGTGTGGGGTGGTATGGGATGGTATGGGGTGGTATGGGGTGGTATGGGGTGGTATGGTGGTGGTATGGGATGGTATGGGGTGGTATGTGGTGGTATGGGGTGGTATGGGGTGGTATGGGATGGTATGGGGTGGTATGGGGTGGTATGGGGTGGTATGGGGTGGTATGAGGTGGTATGGGATGAAAGCCGCAGGAGTACGGTCCCACTGTGGACGCCGAGCATTCAGGCCTCATGTTCATTCCCACCACCAGGATGCAGGTAGGGATGGAATGCAGGTAGGCATTAGGTGGGGTGGTGTGCGTGTGGTAGGGATGACATGGGGACAACTGCAGGAGTATGGCATGACTATAGATGCTGGACATTCAGGCCTCATGTTCATTCCCACTGCCAGGATGGAGGTAGGCATTATGTAGGGCGGTGTGGGTATGGGGTGGTATGGGATGGTATGTGGTGGTATGGGGTGGTATGAGGTGAAAGCTGCAGGAGTACGGCCTCACTGTGGAGGCCAGCCTCACTGTGGAGGACTCATGTTCATTCCCACTGCCAGGATGCAGGTAGGTTGGCATGGAGTATCTGCAATTCTGTGGCATGCTGTTGGGTGGCTGGAGGAAGGACGGGTTTTAGTAATACTACAGTGCATTGCCACACAACTCATCCACAACATTTCACTCTAATTTGTTATGAAATTTGAACTCATGAATAACTGCTCGTCTTCTGCTTTCTGCTCCCAACGGAACCGTTTTCCTCTCCCAACCGAACCTCTTTGCAGACTGATGAGGAGGCCCGGGAGCAGAACGAAGCTATAATGGAGAAGCTGCTTGAATTGGACGATGTGGATGCAGTGTACTGCAACCAATAGGTTGGGCGCACTGTTGTGGATATGAATACAACATAGCTTGCACAGAATTAAACAACATAGCGTGCACGGATAAAAAAAATGTGCGTCATCTAGTTGTGATTCGTGATACTATGTATGCCTTTACCAGAGTTTGTTTGGTAAATAACGCTAATAGCTTTGCATTTCTTTGAACGCGTTTTTGTTAGGTATCATGTTTTGCCGATGGTTACCGTAGTATTCGGTTTGACGAGGATATGAGTGTCCCCACCACTATCTCCAGCCCAATTTTGTAGACGTCACAAATGACAGCCTCCAGCACATGCCACGTGTTGTTATATTCCGCACCACTTCCGAGAAGCACCACACCCAGGTTAAGCAGAAGGGTCGTTCACGAAGAAACTACACTAAAATCGAGTAGTTCCTGGTTATACCTGAAAACTGTCAACGAATTCTTTCAGCGTTGTCGTTCTTCGCAGGATAAGCTGTAGCAGATAAAACTCCTCTTGCTTTGCGAGATTTCAAGGAGCTTTGGCAAGGGCTTCTGGGTAATTCGCATAGAAAGTCCCGACAGTTGCAGATGCGCCTGGTTGTCCCCCCTCAGGAACTTCTTTCCGCCCACCCGCGCCCACTGCTCATGCAGCTCAAGCACATACACAGCCCTGATTTCTGGGCTGTTTTAATATAGTGTTGAAGGAAGCTTGTCGCAAATTATTTGACGGTCGAGATTTCCGAATGGAAAATCTTGGACGATCCTGAGCGCTGAAAAACATGATGGGAAATTTCCTGCCACAGGTTGAAAACGCGCCCTCAAGGTTCCTCCATGTACAATCTGCTCTGAGCATTATCAGGACAGAATTCAGTGGCAATTTCAGACCAGACACATTGATAGGGTAGGAATACGGCTGCCTCAGCTGTGCAACGGACTTCTCTGCTACTGGCGAGTTGTGCAGCCCTCTCCCCGCCTTGTGATTCCACTCGCCGGTAAGTGCACGGATTAGCTATTGATATTACATTGCTGGCATGTGCCCATTTTCGCATTCTGGCTGAGAGCCCCTTGTTCCGAGCGAGAGACGCTTATTCCGAGCGAGACACACTTCTTCCGAGCGAGCGACGCGCAGGATGTTTTGGAAGGTGCTGAGTACTGGCTGCTTTTCCGTTCCGTCGATATGACTTCATTATCGCACGTTCCGTTCCTGCGTCAAGAGCTCCGGTATTTGATTCTATCGTTGTCTCTGCGCTCTCCCGTTACCCGAGCAGCCCTTTGTCGCTGTCGCACAACGTCGCACAACGTCGTTCAACCGCTGATTTCGCCCAATTCGCCGATTTCGCCCGTTTCGTGGCTGCACTTTCACTGTCTAGAGAGCCACCGTCGCCAGCATCGCCATCAACATAATTGTCTCTCATCAATTTCGCTTAGTCCTTCGCTACACGCATCATCCTTGAAACGTCTGCCTAGACCGCCGCCGCCGTCGCCACCGTCGCTACCACTGTCGCCACGAGCATCGCTATCAACATCACAGTCGTTCTCTCGCCCTCTCGCATCGCTATCGCCTCGACCTTCGCTGCACCCATCATCGTTGTAACGTCCGCGGCTCCTCGCTGGAATAGAGCGCGTCTCCTCGCTGGACTAGCCAAGAGCTTTGACTACGATCGTTGTCGGTGCGAGTGCGACTTCTGGCCGTACGATCAACATGATTCTCGCACGGATTCTTTCCCGCTCCGCTCGTCGCGGGGCAGCGAGACCCCTTCCCGCCTCTCTCGTCTCTCGCCTTTCAACGCCCAATTTCCCTCGCTCCGCTATAGATGCCACTAGCACCGTCCCGTCTCATTGTGCTCTTAGCGGAGCAGCAGCCCTCCGGCCTATAGCGGGGATGCCGCCGCTGCCGTTCGCAGCTGCTGCGTCGTCGTCTCTGGCGGGAGTCGGGGGAACGGCTGCGCCAAGCGGCGTCGCTTGCTCGCCGCAATTGTCGGAGGGAGTGGACTCGTCGCCCTCAGCTCCCGCCGCGCACGTCTTTAAACAGGTAAGAGGAGGTGTTTAAACCGGTAAGGAGGAGGTGCAGGAGGTAACGGACGCAGCCTTGGAACAGAGCTTCTGGCGCCTGAAGAGCCGCCCTCAGCTCCTGCCGTGCACGTCTTTAAAGAGGTGAGAGGAGATGTTTAAACGGGTAGGATATGGTTAGACATGGAGGAGTTTAGGGTGCAGGCTCGACAAGCGGCGTCGCTTGCTCGCCGCAATTGACGGAGGGAGTGGACTCATCGCCCTCAGCTCCCGCCGCGCACGTCTTTAAACAGGTGGGAGGTGACCGAACAGGTAGGAGGCAGTAGGCGGTCAAACATGTAGGAGGAGGAGGGGCAGGCTTGTCTAGCGGCGTCGCTTGCTCGCCGCAGCTGATGGAGGGAGTGGATTCGCCGCCCTCAGCTCCCGCCGCGCACGTGTTCAAACAGGTAGGAGAACGTCAGTGAACGTCAGTGAACGCCAGTGAACGCCAGTGAACGCCAGTGAACGCCAGTGAACGCCAGTGAACGCCAGTGAACGTCAGTGAACGTCAGTGAACGTCAGTGATCGAATTGGAGCGGCTACAGGCAGAGGCGCTTAAGGGGGGCGGGTTTGAGCGGATAAAAGAAGCAGCGCAAGCAGGAGAAGCTGAACCAGCTGTTTCCCCTACCCCTTTTCCCCCTCTCTCCCTCCGTCCCTTTCCAGCCATCAGTGATCGAGCTGGAGTGCCTACAAGCGGACGCACTGAAAGGGGGCGGGGGGTTGAGCGGATAAAGAACCAGCACAAGCAGGGGAAGGAAAGCTCACTTCTATGCTCGCACTTCTCCCCCCCCCTCTCGCCTCCTCTTCCCCCCCCCCCCTTCTTCTTTCCAGCCGTCGGTGATCGAGCTGGAGCGGCTACAAGCGGAGGCGCTTAAAGGTGGAGGATTTGAGCGCATAAGGAAGCAGCACAAGCAGGGCAAGCTGACTGCGAGGGAGCGAATCATGACCCTGTTGGATCCGGGGTCGTTCGAAGAGCTAGGTGCGTTGAGGAGAGGGGTACAGTACACAAGAAGGTGAGGATTCAAGTGAGGAACTGGGAGGTGAGGAGGAAGCAGCACAAGCAGGGCAAGCTGACTGCGAGGGAGCGAATAATGACTCTGCTTGACCCAGGGTCGTTCGAAGAGCTAGGTGAGAAGAAATGAGATGGTCCGCAAGATGCGCGAGAGGTGATGGATGGTGCATGCGAGGAGACGGGGAGGTAGAAAAGCAAGCAGCGCCAGCAGGGCAAGCTGACTGCGCGAGGGAGCGAATCGTTCAATCGTGGCACTGCTGGATCCTGGGCCATTCGAAGAGCTGGGTGAGAGGAAAGGGGGAGGTAAGGAAGCAGCACACATGCAGTGCACGCTGACTGCAAGGGAGCGAATCATGGGCTGGTTGGATCCTCCTGGGTTATCTGACAAGCTGCGCGAGGCAAGCAAGGTGAGACAAAACGCACTGAATGAATATGAAACGGTAGGTTACATACAGTTGGGGGTTACAGAAGCAGCCTTTGGTGACTCCAGAGCACCTTGCGAGCCATTCTCATTTCTCTCCATGCTGCGGATATTCCCCTCTTTGTCATATTTCGGTTCTTAATGCCCGGGAGTTCTTCCTCTCCTTACTTTGTGCGGCACTAATGTTGGTCGATCTCTGCTCTCCTTCCCCTCTGCTATTTCCCCCCCTCTCCCCTCCTTCCCCCTCCCCCCCTGGTTGCCCTGTGCTGTGCTGCACACTTGCTGGTGCAGCTTCGCCCCTCTCTTTCCCCTCTCTCTCACGCACTGCTCTCCTATCCCCCCCCCTTCTTCCCTCCCTTCCCCCCGCCCTTTCCCTGTGCTGTGCAGGGTTGCTGGTGCAGCATTGTTGCTGGGACTTTGGCATGGGTGCAAAGAAAACACATGGTGGCCGCTCTCTGCTCGTTGCGCTTTCTCTATCCAACTGCTCTCGTATCCCTCCCTCCCCCTCTCCCCTCCCCCCCCCGCCCTTTCCCTGTGCTGTGCTGCAGACATGCTGGTGCAGCATCGCTGCCGGGACTTTGGCATGGGTGAAACGCAAATTGCAGGCGACGGTGAGAGATGAAACACAGTGTGCAGGTGATGGTGAGAGATGAAACGCAGTGTGCAGGCGATGGTGAGAGATGAAACGCAGTGTGCAGGCGATGGTGAGAGATGAAACGCAGTGTGCAGGCGATGGTGAGAGATGAAACGCAGTGTGCAGGCGATGGTGAGAGATGAAACGCAGTGTGCAGGCGATGGTGAGAGATGAAACGCAGTGTGCAGGCGATGGTGAGAGATGAAACGCAGTGTGCAGGCGATGGTGAGAGATGAAACACAGAATACCTGTGATGGTGACAGATGATGGGGAGTTGTGTTGTGGGGATAAAAACAAGACGGAAAAGAAAGCGCAAGTTCAAATTCCAACGTGTTCCCGCTCTGGTGATTTTTGAGAAATCTAAAGAATCAGATGCATACAGCTCGCAGGAACTGGTGGTAACGGGCTAGCTGGGCGGCATAAAATCAAATCGAATCCGAACATGAGATACAATTCGCACGAACTGGTGACAGCTGGCTCAAAACACAAAGCTAGCCAGCATGGTTGTTGTCATTCACAACCCGTTTCCGTATCCCCCCCCGCTTCCCTTCCTTTCTCCCCGCTTCCTTTTTCCCCCTCCCCTTCTCTCCCCCTCCCTTCTCTCCCCTTCTCTTCTCTCCCCTTCCCTTCTCTCCCATTCCCTTCTCTCCCCTTCCCATCTCTCCCCTTCCCTTCTCTCCCCTTCCCTTCTCTCCCCTTCCCTTCTCTCCCCTTCCCTTCTCTCCCCTTCCCTTCTCTCCCCCTCCCTTCTCTCCCCCACCCTTCTCTCCCCCTCCCTTCTCTCCCCTTCCCTTCTCTCCCCTTCCCTTTTCTGCCCTTCCCATCGGGTCGCCCACCTATTGACAGGCGTCGTCACTGGCAGTGGCACCATCAACGGAAGGTGGGTGCTCTATTTTGCACAACTACAGATACATTCATCATTAGCGTAACGAATAGGATCTAGCTAGAACCCTTATTTTCAGCTAGCTTTTACCCTTGCTGCCTTAGTTGGGCCCTTACGCCCAGCCAGCCGCGTAAACGTAACGTTACGCGTAACGTTACGTTTACGTTTACGTACGCGTAATTACGCGTACGTATTTCCGGGCAGGGGAAATTTTTTCGCCGGGTAAAAATCCCGAAATCTTCGAATCGTGGGCTAATGTCTCCTGATCGAATATAAAAAAAAACCAGCGCGTCGAAATCGGTAGGGAGATCGTCCTACGTTATGCCCGCGATTTGCATAAGCTATGTGGAGGAGCGGCTCTGGGTTCACAGACTTCTAAGGAGTTAGACGGGTAAGTCGTTCTAGACTTGCGGAAGGGAGGTGGCGAGACAAATTAGGTCTGAGGAGATGGGCGATGGGGAGGAAGGGGGTTGGTTGTGCGCGTTACTTTTGTGGGAAGTGGGTGGGCGTTTCGTGCGTTGACTGGCAAAAGTTTGATGACGGCCAAGTCAACGTTGCCACCTCGCCACCCAGTTTCGTTAGTCCCTCGCTGTGAAATTACGAAATTGCGACGAATGTCGCAAATTGGGGATCGGCCAATCGTTGGCCACCGAATTTCTGCACATTTGTCGCAACAACAATCCACGCGCTTTCGCGTGGATCTTCGACCAGGTGGATCTTCCACAAGCCTACTTGGGGACCTCCTATACCTAGGGCAGCCCAAAAACGTTTAGCCTGCCCGGAAACGTAAACTCATTTCGTGAGCCCAAACGTACGCGTAAACGTAACACGTAAACGTACGTAAACGTAAACGTACGAAAACGTAATTGACCAACTAAGCTTGCTGCACGCCTCTCTTGCACACCTACAGATACACCATTAGGGTAACGAATGGGATTCTAGCTGGGACGCAGTCACTCATGGTAGGAAGAGCGGCAGTTTGAAGTTGAGGCGCTCAGAAAGAGCGCCTAAAGAATACATCAGTAGGGAAACGAATAAGAGCTAGCTGGAACTCTTATTTTCACCTTCTGGTCTGCCACCGTCTCCTGGTCTCCTGCATCGTCCCTACCTGCCCCTTCCCCCGTGTCCGCTCACTCTCCCCACGCTCGTGCTTGTGCTCCGCCGCCCCGTGTTTCCACAGCGCGCCGTGCTGTTCTCCCAAGGACTAGAATATTGTATGATCGTTCTAATCCAAAGATGACTCCTCTGCTTCTGACCTCCGCCTTCTGTGCTTGCATGATCATAGCCTTTCCTTCCCTCCCAGTACCTTACGCTCGTGTTCTTCTGAGCTAGGACTTCGGGCTTGCCAGTGTTGGCTTGGCTTCTTCTTACTCCTGTGTTAACATTCTCACGCTTCCCTCTCTCTCTCTCATTAGTGTTTCTTCTCTGCTGCCCCAGGCTCGTCTTTGTGTTCAGCCAGGACTTCAGAGTGTTTGGATTGGAGGCAGTCTCGATAGCCTCACACGCTTGTTGATTGTACTGACTGGCCCTTTCCCCTGCTTCTCCTGCCCCTCTTTGCCTGTGCATGCACGCTCCAGGCTCGTGTTTGTGTTCAGCCAGGGCTTCAGAGTGTTTGGATTGGAGGCAGTCTCGATAGCCTCACACGCTTGTTGATTGTACTGACTGGCCCTTTGCCCTGCTTCTCCTGCCCCTCTTTGCCTGTGCATGCATGCTCCAGGCTCGTGTTTGTGTTCAGCCAGGACTTCACAGTGTTTGGAGGCAGTCTCTCTGAGACCCATGCCAGCAAGATAGTCAAGGTGGGTCTGGGTGGGGTCAAGGTGGGGTCAAGACGAGTCACTGCCAGGTAAACTGAGTCAGCGCGAGGTCAATCAAGTCAAAGGAGGTTGAAGGAGTCAACTTCTTTGTGTTCAGCCAGGACTTCAGTTCAGTGTTTGTATTTTTTTTTTTTTTTTTTTTTTTATTATTATTCATTGCGCGATGCGATGTTTTTTTATCGCTCGATTTAATTTAAATCGCGTTTTAATCGCGATTAAAATGCGATTTGCGATTTTTTTTAATTGCTCGCGATTTCGAAATACCACGGGGGCTCGCACCTGTCCTAAACCCGATACTGAACTGAATTACTGATCTAAACTACCGCCCACAACTGCCCTTGATCCAAATTTCCATCGGTGTTGGTTTTTTTTATCCAGTTTTCTGAGTTGTTTTTTAATCTAAGTAAAATGCGATGCGATTTTAAATCGCATCGCGCGATTTAAATAAACATCGCATGCGGTTTAAATAAACATCGCGTCCAAAATGCGATGTGCGATTGTTTTTTTTTCACGAAATTAAATCTCGCGATGCGATTTTAAATCGCATCGCATTTTTTTAAATCGCACCCCTGTGCGATGCGATTTAAATCGCAATCGCATTTTGATCATTTCTACTCCTTCCCTCCCATCTGCTGCCTCTCTGCCTCTCCTCCTGCTACTCCCTCACTCTCTCGCTCTCCCACAGATCATGGAAAAGGCAATACGAGTTGGAGCACCTGTAAGTCCCTCTAGGTTTCCTCATTCAACCAACCCCTTCCTCCTCTCGTCCCCCTACGCCCTCCTCCCCCTACTCCCGCTCTCCCACAGATCATGGAAAAGGCAATGCGAGTTGGAGCCCCGGTAAGTCCCTCTCGATCTTCTCCTTCCCTCCTCTTAAACCCCTCTTTCCTCCACCACCCGAATTTGCTCCGTTTCCCCTCTCTTCCCGTCCCTCACCCCACCTGATCCCCCCCCCCCTGAATCTGCTTCGTTCTGCTAAATCTAACCCCCTCTCTTTCCGTCCTTCACCTCCCATTCCCTTCACCCTCTGGCTTCTCGCCCTCTCACTAAGCCTTACTAAACCCTCCTTCCCCCCTATCCTCCCTTCCTTCCCCTCTCGCTCCCCCTCTCCCTCTCACCCTCCACTCTGTTTCTGCTGTACTTCCCTGGCCTTCCACGTCACGTCCACAATTTTTCAGCATCATTGATCTTTGAGACATTGTTGGAATTAACTTCTACGGCCCCACTCTCCCCGCCTCGCCTTTCACATATATTCGGCATCAGCCGGAATTTAAAAAAGCTCCCTCAAAACCCCCCACCCTCCTCCCACCCCCCTCTCTCCCCGCCTCGCCTTCCAAATATATTTGGCATCGTCCAAAGATTAATGAGCACCCTCAAATCCCCCATCCTCCCCCCCCCCCCCCCCTTCTCCCCCCCCCCACCTCGCCTTCCGCATACATTCCGCATGAGTTGAAGTTTAAAATCTCCCTCAAAACCCCCTCACCCTACTCCCACGCCCCTCTCCCGCCTCGTGTTCTGCACGTATTTGGCATCATCCAAAGTTTTAAAGCTCCCTCAAACCCTCACCCTCCTCCTCCCATCCTCCTCTCTCCCCGCCTCGCCTTCCATATATATTCGGCATCATCCAAATTCGAAAAGCTCCTTCAAACCCCCCATCCCCTCCCCCCCTACCCCCCCACCTCCCCTCCCCTTCCTTAACCCCCTCTCGGTTCTCCGTACATAGGTCATCTCATCGGCATCAAAGACTCGGAGGGAGCTGGGATCAAGAGGGGCGCTCTTGAAGTGCATTCTCCCCCTCCCGCCCCCACTCCCCCTCCCCTTTCCCCCCTCCCGTCCGCCGTCTCCCCATCTGAGTGTGCGCAGGTCATCGGCATCAACGATTCGGGGGGAGCGCGCATTCAAGAAGGGGTGGTGTCGCTGGCGGGCTATGCCAACGTCTTTCAGGTGAGGTCAAGCTGCCTCAGGTGAGGTCAAGCTGCCTCAGGTGAGGTCAAGCTGCCTCAGGTGAGGTCAAGCTGCCTCAGGTGAGGTCAAGCTGCCTCAGGTGAGGTCAAGCTGCCTCAGGTGAGGTCAAGCTGCCTCAGGTGAGGTCAAGCTGCCTCAGGTGAGGTCAAGCTGCCTCAGGTGAGGTCAAGCTGCCTCAGGTGAGGTCAAGCTGCCTCAGGTGAGGTCAAGGTGCCTCAGGTGAGGTCTAGCTGCCTCAGGTGAGGTCAAGCTGCCTCAGGTGAGGTCAAGCTGCCTCAGGTGAGGTCAAGCTGCCTCAGGTGAGGTCAAGCTGCCTCAGGTGAGGTCAAGCTGCCTCAGGTGAGGTCAAGCTGCCTCAGGTGAGGTCAAGCTGCCTCAGGTGAGGTCTAGCTGCCTCAGGTGAGGTCTAGCTGCCTCAGGTGAGGTCAAGCTGCCTCAGGTGAGGTCAAGCTGCCTCAGGTGAGGTCAAGCTGCCTCAGGTGAGGTCAAGCTGCCTCAGGTGAGGTCAAGCTGCCTCAGGTGAGGTCAAGCTGCCTCAGGTGAGGTCAAGCTGCCTCAGGTGAGGTCTAGCTGCCTCAGGTGAGGTCAAGGTGCCTCAGGTGAGGTCTAGCTGCCTCAGGTGAGGTCAAGCTGCCTCAGGTGAGGTCAAGCTGCCTCAGGTGAGGTCAAGCTGCCTCAGGTGAGGTCAAGCTGCCTCAGGTGAGGTCAAGCTGCCTCAGGTGAGGTCAAGCTGCCTCAGGTGAGGTCAAGCTGCCTCAGGTGAGGTCAAGCTGCCTCAGGTGAGGTCAAGCTGCCTCAGGTGAGGTCAAGCTGCCTCAGGTGAGGTCAAGCTGCCTCAGGTGAGGTCTAGCTGCCTCAGGTGAGGTCTAGCTGCCTCAGGTGAGGTCTAGCTGCCTCAGGTGAGGTCTAGCTGCCTCAGGTGAGGTCTAGCTGCCTCAGGTGAGGTCTAGCTGCCTCAGGTGAGGTCAAGCTGCCTCAGGTGAGGTCAAGCTGCCTCAGGTGAGGTCAAGCTGCCTCAGGTGAGGTCAAGCTGCCTCAGGTGAGGTCAAGCTGCCTCAGGTGAGGTCAAGCTGCCTCAGGTGAGGTCAAGCTGCCTCAGGTGAGGTCAAGCTGCCTCAGGTGAGGTCTAGCTGCCTCAGGTGAGGTCAAGCTGCCTCAGGTGAGGTCAAGCTGCCTCAGGTGAGGTCAAGCTGCCTCAGGTGAGGTCAAGCTGCCTCAGGTGAGGTCAAGCTGCCTCAGGTGAGGTCAAGCTGCCTCAGGTGAGGTCTAGCTGCCTCAGGTGAGGTCTAGCTGCCTCAGGTGAGGTCTAGCTGCCTCAGGTGAGGTCTAGCTGCCTCAGGTGAGGTCTAGCTGCCTCAGGTGAGGTCAAGGTGCCTCAGGTGAGGTCTAGCTGCCTCAGGTGAGGTCTAGCTGCCTCAGGTGAGGTCTAGCTGCCTCAGGTGAGGTCAAGCTGCCTCAGGTGAGGTCAAGCTGCCTCAGGTGAGGTCAAGCTGCCTCAGGTGAGGTCTAGCTGCCTCAGGTGAGGTCTAGCTGCCTCAGGTGAGGTCTAGCTGCCTCAGGTGAGGTCTAGCTGCCTCAGGTGAGGTCAAGCTGCCTCAGGTGAGGTCAAGCTGCCTCAGGTGAGGTCAAGGTGCCTCAGGTGAGGTCTAGCTGCCTCAGGTGAGGTCAAGCTGCCTCAGGTGAGGTCTAGCTGCCGCAGGTGAGGTCTAGCTGCCTCAGGTGAGGTCAAGCTGCCTCAGGTGAGGTCAAGCTGCCTCAGGTGAGGTCAAGCTGCCTCAGGTGAGGTCTAGCTGCCTCAGGTGAGGTCTAGCTGCCTCAGGTGAGGTCAAGCTGCCTCAGGTGAGGTCAAGCTGCCTCAGGTGAGGTCAAGCTGCCTCAGGTGAGGTCAAGCTGCCTCAGGTGAGGTCAAGCTGCCTCAGGTGAGGTCAAGCTGCCTCAGGTGAGGTCTAGCTGCCTCAGGTGAGGTCTAGCTGCCTCAGGTGAGGTCTAGCTGCCTCAGGTGAGGTCAAGCTGCCTCAGGTGAGGTCAAGGTGCCTCAGGTGAGGTCAAGCTGCCTCAGGTGAGGTCAAGCTGCCTCAGGTGAGGTCTAGCTGCCTCAGGTGAGGTCAAGCTGCCTCAGGTGAGGTCTAGCTGCCTCAGGTGAGGTCAAGCTGCCTCAGGTGAGGTCAAGCTGCCTCAGGTGAGGTCAAGGTGCCTCAGGTGAGGTCAAGGTGCCTCAGGTGAGGTCTAGCTGCCTCAGGTGAGGTCAAGCTGCCTCAGGTGAGGTCAAGGTGCCTCAGGTGAGGTCAAGCTGCCTCAGGTGAGGTCTAGCTGCCTCAGGTGAGGTCTAGCTGCCTCAGGTGAGGTCAAGCTGCCTCAGGTGAGGTCAAGGTGCCTCAGGTGAGGTCAAGCTGCCTCAGGTGAGGTCTAGCTGCCTCAGGTGAGGTCAAGCTGCCTCAGGTGAGGTCTAGCTGCCTCAGGTGAGGTCAAGCTGCCTCAGGTGAGGTCAAGGTGCCTCAGGTGAGGTCAAGGTGCCTCAGGTGAGGTCAAGGTGCCTCAGGTGAGGTCAAGGTGCCTCAGGTGAGGTCAAGCTGCCTCAGGTGAGGTCAAGCTGCCTCAGGTGAGGTCAAGCTGCCGCAGGTGAGGTCAAGCTGCCTCAGGTGAGGTCTAGCTGCCTCAGGTGAGGTCAAGCTGCCTCAGGTGAGGTCAAGCTGCCTCAGGTGAGGTCAAGCTGCCTCAGGTGAGGTCAAGCTGCCTCAGGTGAGGTCAAGCTGCCTCAGGTGAGGTCAAGCTGCCTCAGGTGAGGTCAAGCTGCCTCAGGTGAGGTCAAGGTGCCTCAGGTGAGGTCAAGGTGCCTCAGGTGAGGTCAAGCTGCCTCAGGTGAGGTCAAGCTGCCTCAGGTGAGGTCAAGCTGCCTCAGGTGAGGTCAAGCTGCCTCAGGTGAGGTCAAGCTGCCTCAGGTGAGGTCTAGCTGCCTCAGGTGAGGTCAAGCTGCCGCAGGTGAGGTCAAGCTGCCTCAGGTGAGGTCAAGCTGCCTCAGGTGAGGTCAAGCTGCCTCAGGTGAGGTCAAGCTGCCTCAGGTGAGGTCAAGCTGCCTCAGGTGAGGTCAAGCTGCCTCAGGTGAGGTCAAGCTGCCTCAGGTGAGGTCAAGCTGCCTCAGGTGAGGTCAAGCTGCCTCAGGTGAGGTCAAGGTGCCTCAGGTGAGGTCAAGCTGCCGCAGGTGAGGTCAAGCTGCCTCAGGTGAGGTCAAGGTGCCTCAGGTGAGGTCAAGCTGCCTCAGGTGAGGTCAAGGTGCCTCAGGTGAGGTCAAGGTGCCTCAGGTGAGGTCAAGGTGCCTCAGGTGAGGTCAAGCTGCCGCAGGTGAGGTCAAGCTGCCTCAGGTGAGGTCAAGGTGCCTCAGGTGAGGTCAAGGTGCCTCAGGTGAGGTCAAGCTGCCGCAGGTGAGGTCAAGCTGCCTCAGGTGAGGTCAAGGTGCCTCAGGTGAGGTCAAGCTGCCTCAGGTGAGGTCAAGGTGCCTCAGGTGAGGTCAAGCTGCCGCAGGTGAGGTCAAGCTGCCTCAGGTGAGGTCAAGGTGCCTCAGGTGAGGTCAAGGTGCCTCAGGTGAGGTCAAGGTGCCTCAGGTGAGGTCAAGCTGCCTCAGGTGAGTCAACGTCTCTCTGGTGATATGAACGCCGTGAGGTAACATCTTTCCGACAACAACCACTCTCTCCCTTTCCCCCTTCCTCCCAATACTCAGCCCTCCCCCTTTTCCTCCTATCCGTTGCTAAATCCCCCCTCATATGCTTCCGTCTTCTCTTCTGCCCTCCCACCCTTCCTCTCCCCCCCACCCCTACCTCTCCCCACCCCTCAAGCGGTCCTTTGTATTCATTACAAGCCTGTGTACAGAGTTAGGCATGTGGGCTGGGTAGAAGCATGCATCCTAGTCCCCCCCACCCGCCCTTGCTAGCCTACGCTAGCTCCCCTGTGGGCTCCAAGATGACGAAGCAGTCCCCGAGGGACATGCCTTTGTCAGGTGCCCCAAGGACGGGCCCTTCGAGTGGGGAGGCCTCGTTCACCTTGCCGAGGTACGAGAGGGCGTGTTCGCGCTGGAGGGTGACCACCACCGCTGCCGAAACTGATTGAGCAGTTTGGCGGCCTGGTACGAGCTCGGGTCCGCATTGAAGAGGCGGCGGGCGCCGCCTCAGGGCAGGGTCCCCACCCCTCCCTTTCTTTCAGGTCAAGGTGCTGGCATCAGGCGTCATTCCTCACCTCTCTGCCTTTTTCATACACTTCACAAGCTCACAACACCATTTCCCCCTCCCTTCCTCTTCCCACCCACCCTTTCCCTCAGCTGAACGTGCTGGCATCAGGCGTCATCCCGCAGTTGTCGCTCATCATGGGGCCATGCGCAGGTGATTGGGGGCTCATGCTGACGCAGGTTACACGCCCGTGCGCATGCAATGCATGCAATGCACGTGATGCTGGGGATGCTTATGATGCTTGTGTGAGGTGCTGGCATCAGGCGTCATCCCGCAGTTGTCGCTCATCATGGGGCCATGCGCAGGTGTTGCACCCACATGCACGCGATGGGTCTCTCTGTGTGTAAATGTGGGTTGGGGTCCTGTAATGTGTTTCTTGGACAAAATCTTGTGTAGCGTGCTGGCGTCAGGCAAAATCCCCCAGTTGTCGCTCATCATGGGGGCATGCGCAGGTGAGGTGGCCGTGTGTGGCGTTAGATAGTCTGTGTGTCTGCGTATGTGCGCGCGTTTGTGTTCGCGTGAACATGCATGTGTGCACAGTAGGTGGTGTACGTTCGTTTGATTCTCTTCCCATCTGTCGCGCCATTCCTCCTTTTCATTATACTTCCAGCCAGCCAACAATTTTCTTTACTGCCCATCCTGTCCCTTCCAGGTGGTGCTGTCTACTCGCCTGCACTCACAGACTTTGTGGCCATGGTGAGTGAGATGCGGTGAAGAGCGGTGAGATGTGGTGGTGAAGGACCGAGAAATGGAATGTTAGGAGCGTGAGAAGGACTAAGGAAGAATGCATCCTGTAGACAGCAAGAATGTATCTAAGAACCTGCAAGATGCATTCTTGCGTCCTCCTCTGGTTTCTTGTGTCCTCCTCTCTCTTTTCTCCTCGCACCCGCCTCCCTCCCCAAGCCCAAGGGGCCTATGTACTGTTGTCGCATCCCATGTTTGTGACGGACCGTTTGGGGCCTCTCAGTGGACTCAAGCCCAAGGGGGCTATGCCTATGCTCTCCCATGGTTGTGATGCCTCAGATGGGGTGAAGCAAGCTCTGATGTTATGTTTGGGAAGGCGGGTACGTGCAAGCTCATGCTTCTTGCCTGTCACCTATGTGGTTGACTTCCCCCCTGCACTGCCCCCCCACTCTCCCACAGACCCGTGGTACTGCCTACATGTTTCTGACAGGGCCATGCCGTGGTGAAGCATGCCTTGGCGCAGCTCATGCTTCTTGTCTGTCACCTGTGTGGCTGATGTACCCCCTTCACTGCACGGCCCCCACTCTCTCCCACAGACCCGTGGTACTGCCTACATGTTTTGGGGGGGACCGGACATGGTGGTGACGCATGCGCCGTGGAACTATTTTCTGCGGTTGCATAATCCCTGTGGTCATTTTTTTGGCTTCCTTTTTTTATTTATTTAATATTCTTGCAGACCCGCGGCACGGCCTACATGTTTGTGACGGGACCTGACGTGGTGAAGCAGGTCACATTTGAGGATGTCACCCGGGTGTGTTTCCGGTCCCTCTCGTTCGTTACTCTTGGTTGGAGGTTTATCTTGTGACGCATCAGAATAAGCCTTGTTGTCATATGTTTGTCACGGAGCCAGATGTGGTGAAGCAGGTCACGTTTGAGGATGGCACCCGGCAGGTGTGTTTCTAGTCCCCCTCGTTTGTTACTTTAGATAGAAGGTTTATTTTGTGACGCCTCAGAATAAATCTACACGGCCTACACGTTTGTCACTGGGCCTGACGTGGTGAAACAAGTGACGCTTGAGGATGTCACCCGGATTTGTTTCCGGTTTCTCTCGGTCTGTTACTTCTCCAGTTCACTGGTTGTCCGGCAGTCACAGCAGTTCGGGCAGTTGAAGACAAACGCCGCAGTTGTGCACTTTGTTTGTTAGTCTCTATCTTTCTGCTGCGTTTTTCTTCTGTTACCAAACCCATGGTGACGTGACGCTAAGTCACTTGCACCTTTGCCGTGCCGTGCACCTTTGTACCTCTTGCCTTCCTTCGTCACCTCCTCCTCGGATTGCTCACTCATGCGTGCACACTCGCTCACACGCACCATTGCACACATAACCCCACCTCCCGGCCTCCCACCGCCGCACCTCTCCCCCTCCCCCCCTTGCCTCACGCCCACCCTCTCACATCCTGACATGGGCTCTCTCGCTCTCACTCCCACACAGGACGAGCTAGGAGGGGCGGACGTGCAGTCCAAGTCGGGCGTGGTGCACCTGGCGTACGACAACGAACTTGATGCTCTTGCAAGGTGAGATGGAGGAGTGTGTGTGGTGCATGGGTGTGGTGCATGGGTGTGGTGCATGGGTGTGGTGCATGGGTGTGGTGCATGGGTGTGGTGCATGGGTGTGGTGCGCAGTGGTACCTAGCCTGCAGCCCCCAAGTCAGGGGTAGTGCACGTGGCGTATGAGCATGGGCAGGATGCCTGGCGAGGTGAGATGGCAGGCAATGCAGATGATACCCCTTGCATACATGCATGGATGGTGCATACATGCATGGATGGTGCATACATGCATGGATGGTGCAGACATGCATGGATGGTGCAGACGTGCAGCCCAAGCCAGGCGTGGTGCGCCTGGCCACCTGGCGCATGACAATGAGCTGGCCGCAATGGCAAGGAGAGAAACAGTGAAGGGGGCACAAAACGCCCCTCCACTCCAAAACGCCCCTCTGCTCCCTGCCTGCAGGATCCGAGACCTCTTTGACTTTTGAGTCGGCTCAAAGGCCGTCACGCTCAACATTCCTCAGCATGCAATCTCAACCCAACACCCGTCGCTATGCCGCTCGCCCCTTCTCTGCCTGCCTGCAGGATCCGAGACCTCTTTGACTTTTGAGTCGGCTCAAAGGCCGTCACGCTCAACATTCCTCAGCATGCAATCTCAACCCAACACCCGTCGCTATGCCGCTCGCCCCTTCTCTGCCTGCCTGCAGGATCCGAGACCTCTTTGACTTTTGAGTCGGCTCAAAGGCCGTCACGCTCAACATTCCTCAGCATGCAATCTCAACCCAACACCCGTCGCTATGCCGCTCGCCCCTTCTCTGCCTGCCTGCAGGATCCGAGACCTCTTTGACTTTTGAGTCGGCTCAAAGGCCGTCACGCTCAACATTCCTCAGCATGCAATCTCAACCCAACACCCGTCGCTATGCCGCTCGCCCCTTCTCTGCCTGCCTGCAGGATCCGAGACCTCTTTGACTTTTGAGTCGGCTCAAAGGCCGTCACGCTCAACATTCCTCAGCATGCAATCTCAACCCAACACCCGTCGCTATGCCGCTCGCCCCTTCTCTGCCTGCCTGCAGGATCCGAGACCTCTTTGACTTTTGAGTCGGCTCAAAGGCCGTCACGCTCAACATTCCTCAGCATGCAATCTCAACCCAACACCCGTCGCTATGCCGCTCGCCCCTTCTCTGCCTGCCTGCAGGATCCGAGACCTCTTTGACTTTTGAGTCGGCTCAAAGGCCGTCACGCTCAACATTCCTCAGCATGCAATCTCAACCCAACACCCGTCGCTATGCCGCTCGCCCCTTCTCTGCCTGCCTGCAGGATCCGAGACCTCTTTGACCTTTGAGTCGGCTCAAAGCCGTCACGCTCAAAATTCCTCAGTATGGAATCCCATCCCAGCACCCCGTCGCCATGCCGCTTCCCCCTTCTCCCCCTTTTCCCCCTTCTCCCCCTGCCTGCAGGATCCGAGGCCTCTTTGACTTTGAAGTCCGCTCAAAAGCCGTCACGCTCCTCCCCAGCACGGAATTCCAACACACCGTTGCTATTCCCCCCCCCTCCCCCCCCCCCACCCCTCCCCCCCTCCCTCTCCCCCCGCCTACAGGATCCGAGACCTCTTTGACTTCCTGCCGCTCTCCAATCAGCACGCGCCACCTCTCCGCCCCAACTTTGACCCCCCGTGAGTCCCTCATGGAGTGCTCAGGGTGTCTCCCAGCTCGCGCCTCCCGGGTGTTCTCCCCCACAGACAGCTTTACCTTCACCTCCATGCACGCGCCTATGAGTCATAGGCGGACTCAAAAGCTCCTCCGCCCCAACTTCGACCCTCCATGAGTCATTCATTAGTGATATCCCACGGATCTCCACTCATTGGAGGAAAAGTATATTTTTTAGGTGCCTAAAAAATATGAGTAGACTCAGAAGCATCTCCGCCCCAACTTAAAAACTTCAAATCCCCGAGAGTCATTCGTAAGTGAGATCCCACGGATCTCCACTCATTGGAGGAAGGGCTCCGTGCGTGAGTAATTTGCAGAGTGTGTTCTTGAGTCGACTCAAATGTCTCTCCACCCTAACTTCAACTCCCTGTGAGTCATTCGCAAAATGTTCTCATGTGGGTTTTTGTTGGATTGCATTTCCGGTTTTGTACTTCGCTCTTAGCTCTCTATGTCAATTTCCTACTCTTTTTCCCCTGTCAAAAGTCAGTACTTCGTACTTCGCTCTGGACTCTGCTGTGCCTCTTTTCGAGTCGACTCAAAGCACAACTCAAAGCACACCTTTTTTCACCCTGCATTTTCTGTCTACCCTTCTATGGGCCTTGCTGTGTCTTGTGTGTCCCCTCTTTCACCCCCCTCTCCTCCAACCCCCCTCCCTCGCTCCCCCCCCCCCCCCCCCGCCCCCTTCCCCCCCTTGCCCCCTCTTGCATTGCCCCCAGCAACCGCATCTCGCTTTTGTTGGACTTCGCTGTGCCTCGTGACCCCAACACTGACTTCCCCCTCCCTCCCCCTTCCGCTCCCCCTCCCCCCTCCCCCTTTCAGCAACCGTGTCTCGCCCTCTTTGGACTTTGCTGTGCCTCGTGACCCCAACACTGCCTACGATATGGTTGAAATCATAGAGCAGGTGTGACTTTCTGATTCTAGAGCAGGTGTGATACAAGCAGGTGTGATAGAGGCAGGTGTGACTACCTAAGTGGGAAAATTCGCGTTTCGCGTAAATTCGCTAACGAATTTACGCTGGCGTAAATTCGCTCGAACGCCAGGGCCCTGTTTTGAATTCGTTGGGAAATTCGTTCTGCCCGGGCAGGAAAAAAATGCCCGGGCAGGCCCAAAAAAAAAGTTCCCAGGTAGGGGGGGCGTGGGGGGTTTCAGGGCAACTCTTTTTAGCAGAAAATTATTATTGCTTCTCAAAGTTTATGGCAATAGCATGTTCTAGAGTTTGGGGGGTATCCTTTGCATTAACAGCCCTGCAGCAACCTACAGCAAGATGATGAACCATACTCATGAGGTAAGCTAATGTCTATGCTTAAACTAGATCTTCTAGCTATGACGCGGAGTGATAAGCTAGATCTACTCTACGTCTGGTAGAGTAGCGTGTGAGATGCGTGCGTGATATGGTTGCGTAAGTTGGGTGGTGGATGGGTTGGGTTCTCTAGATGTGGTGGGGTTTGATGCGGTTGGGAGCGTGGGAGGGGTTGGAGCATTTTTGGAGGTTCAAAAGTTAGAATCGCGAATTGGCGAGGCCACGGATGGCTTCGCCAAGTCGCTGCGAATCGAGTTGGGAAATTCGTGTTTTTTTGTCCGGGCTGCCCCAAAAATTTTCCCCCAGCGTTTCGCGAATTTCAGGTAAATTCGCGTTTGCGAATTTACGCTTACGAATTTACGCAAAACGCTGGGGGACCCCAACGAATTTGCCCACTTAGGTGACTACCTGATTCTAGAGCAGGTGTGGCTACATCAAGGTTAAAAAAACGTCGTTTTTTTTGTCTTTTTTTTTTTTTTTTTTTTTTTTCTGTTTTTTGCCGTATTATACGATATCGTGTTTTTCGGCCGTTAAATACGATAAAAGACGATCCCGAATGTTTCATTTTCATTGGTGGAAAAAAAAGGTCGTTTTACATGACCGATCTTTTGAAAGTAATGGAATTTGCAAAATAAACAAATTTGTTACACATTTCTGCGGTTGGGTGTACACCCAACCGTAGAAATGTGTTCAGTCAACACATTTCCGAAGCACGACCTCGGCACTATTCCAAGGCGCGCATTTTGGACGGTTCGCCAAACCCGATGCGAAACTGTCGTCCGTTTCGCAACGGGCTGGTTTGTTTTTCACGCCCAGTAGCATGCGTTAGCGCAAAACGGAACGCATGCTACCGAGGCGCATTTCAAAGAATGGAGCAGGAGGAGTTTTTCTCTGTTTTTTACACACCCACCTTGCATGCAACGTAGCCACCAGCAGCGTAGTTGTGTGCTCGTTTTTTTTTGCCCTAAAAAAAAAAAAAAACTTTTAAAAAAACGTCGTTTTTTCAGAAAATCACCGTATTATACCATCGAAAAAAACCATCGGAAAAAACGGCCTGCCGTTTTTTTCAATCTTGGGCTACATGGTGTGATATAAGCAGGTGTGGCCGTGGATAGTCATGGGCAAAACGCGATTGCGATTTAAATCGCATCGCGATGGGGCACGATTCAATAAATAGTGCGAGGCGATTCGAAATCGCATCGCGCAATTTAAATTTGTGGAAGAAAAAAAAATCGCACATCGCGTTCAGAGCGCGATTTAAAGCCCGGGTCTAGAATGGTAAAACACCAACCTTTCTGACCATGAAAACAGTGCCAAAAAAATCCAGTGAAGAAAATTTCGGCAAAGCACCTCTGGCGAAAAACAGTGCGCAAACAGTGACGAACAGTACTGTGATGGTCTCTAGTCTCGAGTCTCCCAAGAAAATGCGTTCAGGATGGTTGCGGCCCGCGGGCGTTGTCATGTTCAGTATGAGTGAACAGTGCGTTCGTGGTTTGTCGTTTCTAGCAGTTTTCGCAAACAACCCCATTTCCCCGAGGGTTGCGAACTTGACGGTCCCCTAAACTAGGTTACCTCTACTGTACGAAAACAAGTTCAGGAATCCTGAGCTTGATAGCGTGCCATTCTAGACTCGGGCTTTAAATTGAAACCGCGCTCGGTTTTTAAATAAATAGCGCGATGCGATTTCAAATTGCATCGCTTTGTAGGCCAGAATGAAAGTCCTCCCAAAAAATCGTGGAGAAAGGTAGGGTTGGGAGGGAGCATGGAGGGTGTGTGTGCTAGGCCCAAAACGAATTGCCAAAGAGATTCTCCAAAAGGGAATTCCTTTGGTGCGTTTTGGGGCTTTGCATTCCCCTTCCCCCCTTGCTGGTGAGATTTTGCGGAGCGATGTATTTCGACATCGCGCGCGATTTTTTTTTTTTAATCGCACATCGCTTCTATATTGCGTGCGTAAGGCGATATAAACTGCAATCTAAAAAAATCTTGCGGTAAACATTAAATCGCATCGTGCGAATTACCAAAAAAAAAAACGCAATTGCAAAAACACGATTTAACGCGATGCGATGCGATTTTTTTTGCCCATGGTGTGATTATAGAGCAGGTGACTTAGACATCGTCCCACCTGCTGCAGGTCCTTATCCGAAAAGTCACCTTTCCCTCCCACTCAAAAGTCACCTCGTTACAATAGCAACCCGGTTGGTGGGTGATGGGGAGTGCTTTGGAGTGCTGACTGGCTTTTGAGTTCACCCCAAAGACATGACCCCTCAATTTCTCCTCAACCCCGCTTCCCTTCTCTCCCCCTCACCACCCCCTATCAGGTGGTGGGCGATGGGGAGCTCGTTGAGGTACAGACTGGCTTTTGAGTGGACACTCCACATCCCCTCCCACTGGCTTTCTCCTCCTCTCTCTGCACCACACAAACTCCCCTCCCCTCTCCGTCCCGCTCTACTTTCCTCTTCTTACTACCATCACACTCAGGTGGTGGACGATGGGGAGCTCTTTGAGGTGCCGACTGGCTCCTGAGTTCACTGCAAAGTCACCTACCCTCGCCTATCCCCGATGCACCCTCCACCACACACCCTCTCCTCCCTCTCACCACCCCGCCTCCTCACCATGACACTCAGGTGGTGGATGATGGGGAGCTCTTTAAGTTGCCGACTGGATTTTGAGTTCGACCCCACATCCACTCCCACTGGCTTTCTCCCCCTCTCTCTCCGCACCGCGCACACTACCCTCCCTCCCCCCGCTCTCTGTTCCTCTACTTACTATCAGGCACAGGTGGCGGTGGATGGGGAGCTCTAAGAGGTGCCGACTGGCTTGTGAGTTTACTCTAGAGTCACTACCCTCACTTACTCCGCATTCCTCCTTCCCGTCTCTTCCCCCCCTCCACAACCCCCCCCACCCTTCCCCCTCTTCCTGCTCCCCGTCGACAGGTGGTGGACGATGGCGAGCTCTTTGAGGTGCAGACTGGCTTTGCACGCAACATCATCATTGGGTTCGCGGTGAGTCAATGCCAGTCAATGACAGTGGATGTAGTTAATGCAGTTAGTGGTGCTCGGTTTTGCACGCAAAATCATCATTGGATTTGCTGTGAGTCAACGCCGGTCAATGTTGGTCAATGCTGGTCAATGAGCATCATCTAGGATCGTCAATGGCAACGCTGGTCAATAGACACCGCACCAGTGAGCTAAGAGCATTCCCCCCTGTCGCTCTTGTTCCTTCCTGTCCCCCTGTACCAGCGGCTGGAAGGTGGCACTGTGGGAGTGGTGGCCAATCAACCCAAGGAGCAGGCTGGCTGCCTTGATATCAACGCCTCTATTAAGGTAGGACAGGTCGTTATAGTGTGATCTTTGGTGTTATGGTTATTTGTAACAATGAATTGGCACATCAGCCCAAGGAGCTGGCTGGCTGCCTTGATGTTATCGCCTCGATTAAGGAAATTGTGGTATTACGAGGGTGTAACAATGGGTTGCATGGTTACGCGTAACATTAAAGTGGTAAATCAGCCCAAGGATCTGGCTGGCTGCCTTGATGTTAACCCTTGACTTTTGAGTCGACTCAAAAGGCTGACTCGATGGCAGCCCTTGGGCGCATGTTCCAGTGCCCTCTGTCTTCGCGCATGCAATGGCATGCCATGGCCTGGGATGTTACCACCACATGGTACGGCATGTTATTAAATGGCATGGTATATTACCACATGGCATGGTATATTACCACATGGCATGGTACGTTGCCACATGGCATGGCATGGTATGTTGCCACATGGCATGGCATGTTAGCACATGGCATGGCATGTTACCACATGGCATGGCATGTTAGCACATGGTATGGTATATTACCAAATCGCACGGGACGTTACTGCATGGTATGGCATGTAACCAATTGGCATGTATGCTACTGTGTTCACATGTCGTGTCTCCGCATGGCCACAGGGTGCTCGTTTCGTGCGCTTCTGTGATGCTTTCAGCCTCCCCATCCTCACCTTTGTGCCCCAATGCGCTACCTGTTCCCTGCACTGCATGCATTGACACGGCTTGTACGGTTGTACCCACATGGCTCACTCACAGGGAGCTCGTTTCGTGCGCTTCTGCGATGCTTTCAACATCCCCATCCTCACCTTTGTCGACGTCCCAGGCTTCCTCCCAGGTACCATGCCAGCCCCTTTCACAGGTAACATGCATGATCGGGTTCTCCTTGTCTTGCGCTTATGTGTGCCCCATGTGTTTGCATGTGTGCCCATGTGTTTGCATGTGTGCCCCATGTGTTTGCATGTGTGCCCGTGTGTTTGCATGTGTTCCCACGTGTTTGCATGTGTGCCCATGTGCTTGCATGTGTTTGTGTTTGCATGTGTGCCCATGTGTTTGCATGTGTGCCCGTGTGTTTGCATGTGTGCCCATGTGTTTTGCATGTGTTTGTGTTTGCATGTGTGCCCATGTGTTTGCATGTGTGCCCATGTGTTTGCATGTGTGCCCATGTGTTTGCATGCGTGCCTGTGTTTTTGCATGTGTGCCCGTGTTTTTGCATGTGTGCCCGTGTTTTTGCATGTGTGCCCATGTGTTTGCATGTGTGCCCATGTGTTTGCACGTGTGCCCGTGTGTTTGCATGCGCGTCCATGTGTTGGCGTGTGTGCATGTGTTGGCGTGTCTGTGCATGTGTTGGCGTGTGTGCCGATGTGTTGGCGTGTGTGTGCATGTGTTGGCGTGTGTGTGCATGTGTTGGCGTGTGTGTGCATGTGTTGGCGTGTGTGTGCATGTGTTGGCGTGTGTGTGCATGTGTTGGCGTGTGTGTGCATGTGTTGGCGTGTGTGTGCATGTGTTGGCGTGTGTGTGCATGTGTTGGCGTGTGTGTGCATGTGTTGGCGTGTGTGTGCATGTGTTGGCGTGTGTGTGCATGTGTTGGCGTGTGTGTGCATGTGTTGGCGTGTGTGTGTATGTGTTTTCATGCGTGTCCATGTGTGCGTGTGTACCAAAACGTGTGGCTGCCCCTCCAGGCACGGAGCAGGAGCAGAATGGCATCATTGGGCAGGAAGCCGAGCTGCTGAGTGCCGTTAACCAGCATGTCTGTCGCTGTGTGGGGGGCACTCGTCAATGGTTGTTTGCAGGCACGGAGCAGGAGCACAATGGCATCATCAGGCAGGGAGCCAATCTTCTGTGCCCATTGACTCGTGTTAATCTACTGCAATACGTGTGCTTGTGTCTGTCCCCTCCAGGCACCGAGCAGGAGCACAACGGCATCATCAGGCAGGGAGCCAAGCTGCTGCATGCAGTGACTCATGTGTTTCTGTGCGTCCTGATGTATGCATCTGTATGTGTATGTGCATCCCAACCCATGCAGGCACCGAGCAGGAGCACAACGGCATCATCAGGCAGGGAGCGAAGCTGCTGTACGCATATGCAGAGGCTACTGTGCCCAAGCTCACTGTGATCACCCGCAAGGCATACGGGGGGGCGTATGATGGTGAGCGATGGCTGAGCGATGGCTGAGGGATGGCTGAGAGATGGGTGAGCGATGGGTGAGGGATGGGTGAGGGATGGGTGAGGGATGGGTGAGAAATGGGTGAGAAATGGGTGAGAAATGGGTGAGGGATAGTCAGGATGGTGTACGGTGGTGTACGGTGGTGTGTGATGGTATTTGATGCTGTATGATGGTATGTGATGGTGTGTGATGGTATGTGATGGCGTATGGCGGTGGGTGTGCTGTGTGCATACCCAGAAGCCACTCTACCCAAATTCACGTGTGTAATGAGTTGATTTTTGAGTCGACGTATTACACGCTGTTATTTCCCTCTTCCCTCCGTCTTCCAGCCCTCCATTCCAGCTATAAGCTCCAAACACCTGAGAAGTGACGTCACTATGCTTGGATTCTCAACCTCCCCTCCCACCTCTCCCCCTCCCATCCCCCCTCTTCCCCCTCCCCTCTCCCCTCCACCCGCCCACTATCTCTTCACCGCTCTCCCTCCCCTCTCCAGTCGTGAGCTCCAAGCACCTGCGAGGTGACGCCAACACGCCTTCAGCCACCTGGCTTCTCAAGCTCACCTCACCCCTCCCACCTCTCCCCTCTCCCGTCTCCCCTCTCCCTCCCCCCTCTCCCCTCTCCCCTCCATCCACCCACTATCCCTTCACCTCTGTCCCTTCCCTCTCCAGTCGTGAGCTCCAAGCACCTGCGAGGTGACGCCAACACGCCTTCAGCCTCCTGGCTTCTCAAGCTCACCTCACCCCTCCCACCTCTCCCCTCTCCCGTCTCCCCTCTCCCTCCCCCCTCTCCCCTCTCCCCTCCATCCACCCACTATCCCTTCACCTCTGTCCCTTCCCTCTCCAGTCGTGAGCTCCAAGCACCTGCGAGGTGACGCCAACACGCCTTCAGCCTCCTGGCTTCTCAAGCTCACCTCACCCCTCCCACCTCTCCCCTCTCCCGTCTCCCCTCTCCCTCCCCCCTCTCCCCTCTCCCCTCCATCCACCCACTATCCCTTCACCTCTGTCCCTTCCCTCTCCAGTCGTGAGCTCCAAGCACCTACGAGGGGATGCCAACTACGCCTGACCATCATGGCCATCCACTAGCTCCCCATCCAACGGCTTCCCTCTTCCCTCCTCCTTCCATCCTCCCAGTGGCTTCTCTCCCTCTTCCCTCTCCAGTCGTGAGCTCCAACCACCCACCCCCCAAATACTCGTGCGTTTTCAACCTCCCCTCTCCCGTCTCTCCCCCGCCCGACCACCCCCCTAATCCCTTTCTTTCCCTCCCCTCTCCCATCATGAACTCCAAGCACCTGCGAGGGGATGCCAAGTACGCCTGGCCATCTGCTATCTACCCATGCCGTCTGCTATCTGCCCATGCCTGTCACGCCTCTCTGCTTTCAGACTTCTCCTTTCCATCTCCCCATTGGCTTCTCTCCTCCCTTGGTGCAGTCATGAGCTCCAAGCACCTGCGAGGGGATGCCAACTACGCCTGGCCGTCTGCCGAGATCGCAGTGATGGGAGCAAAGGTGAGAGAGGATGAGAACGCTGGGATGGATGCTTTGGTTGGTTTCTTTGGGTTATGAAAAGGTCAGATGGGATGTCAAGTTTTGAGGCGCCTAATGATGGGAGCAAAGGTGAGACGGAATCGGACGCTGTTATGGACGCTATTTTCCCCACACTGTTTCCCCCCTCTCTCCCTCCTCCAGCCTCCCTCCGGCCTTCCGCCCACTGTTTCTCCCCTCTCTCCCACCTCCAGCCTCCCTCCAGCCTCCCGCCCACTGTTTCTCCCCTCTCTCCCACCTCCAGCCTCCCTCCAACGCCTCTCCCACCTCCAGCCTCCCTCCAACGCCTCTCCCACCAGTGTCCTCGATCAGGTTGCGGCTGAGGTCCTCCGCTCCCTCACACACGCATCCAACAAGGAGCAGCAGAGATCCTTCACAAATGCCATGAGGACTTGATTTTTGAGACACCTAGAAGTTAAACTCCTTTTCCCACACGCATCCAACAGGGAGTCGCAGAGATCCTTCACAGAGGCCATGTGGACTTGGAGGCTTTGACTGCTAAGTACACACGGAAATTCGCCAACCTGTGCAGTGCGGCGCAGCTGGGGTATGTGGAAGCGGTGGCCCTCATTGCCATGGCTCTCCCCCCCTTGACGCCCCCCATCTGTCCTTCATGTCTCCCTTCCGCCCCCCAGGGAGCAGCAGAGATTCTGCACAGGGGCCGCGTGTATCTAGAGGCCTTAACAGCTGAGTACACTCGCAAGTTCACCAATCCTTACCCCTTGACGCTTGCTGTTCCCCACATACGTCCCTCAGGGTGCGGCTGAGATTCTGCACAGGGGCCACGTGGACCTAGAAGCCTTGACTGCTGAGTACGCTCAGAAGTTCGCGAACCCGTACCGTGCGGCGCAGCTGGGGTATGTGGATGTGGTGGCCTTCATTCCCACGGCTTTCTCCCCCCTTGACGCCCCCCATCTGTCCATCTATCCCTACATGTCTCCCTTCCGCCCCCCAGGGAGCAGCAGAGATCCTGCACAGGGGCCACGTGGATCTAGAGGCCTTAACTGCTGAGTACACTCGCAAGTTCGCGAACCCATACAGTGCGGCGCAGCTGGGGTATGTGGATGCGGTGGTGACCCCCATTGCCTCTCTGTGCCTCCCATCTGTCTCCCATCTGTCTCTCAGGGTGCTGCTGAGATTCTGCGCAGGGGCCACGTGGACCTGGAAGCCTTGACTGCTGAGTGCAAGCGCAAGTTCGCCAACCCATGGCATTTATGCTTGCGCTTTTCCCACATGCGTCCCTCAGGGTGCGGCTGACATCCTGCACAGAGGCCATGTGGACCTGGAGGTTTGACTGCTGAGTACACTCGCAAGTTCGCGAACCCATACAGTGCGGCGCAGCTGGGGTATGTGGATGCGGTGGTGACCCCCATTGCCTCTCTGTGCCTCCCATCTGTCTCCCGTCTGTCTCTCAGGGTGCTGCTGAGATTCCGCACAGGGGCCACATGGATCTAGAGGCTCTGACAGCTGAGTACACTCGCAAGTTCGCGAACCCGTACAGTGCGGCGCAGCTGCGGTATGTGGATACAGCAGCCCTCATTAATTACATGTGTGCTCTTCAATCTACTGTTTCCCTTCCACCCCCTCCCCGGGCTCCCACCTGTCTCCCAGGGCGCATCGGAGATCCTGCACAGGGGCCATGTGGACATAGAAGCATTAACAGCTGAGTACACTCGGAAGTTCGCCAACCCGTACAGCGCTGCGCAGCTGGGGTATGTGGATGCGGTGATCATGCCTCGAGACACCCGGAAAGTGCTGTGCAAGGAGATGGCTCGCCTCAGAAATAAGGTGAGGCGGGGGACGGGATGGGGATGGGGCGACAGGGGAGGGAACAAGTTAACAGGGAGTGGTGAGGGGTTGTCAACCTGTAAAGTGCGGCGCAGCTGGGGTATGTGGATGCGGTGATCATGCCTCGAGACGCCCGGAAAGTGCTGTGCAAGGAGATTGCTCGCCTCAGAAACAAGGTGAGAAGAGGAGGGAATCATGTTCATCTAATCATATCACTGTGCTGCTTTGCCCATCTTTGCTGCTTTGCCCATTTGTGCCCCTGGTGTGGGAATGTGGGTGTGGATGTGGATGTGGGTGTGGGTGTGGATGTGAATGCCCATGTTATACTACCTATCAGAAATTGGCCAATCCATGGAAGAAGCATGACAACATGCCGCTGTGATCATCCTCCTTGGAGCTCACAGCGCCTTTTGAGGTGCTTGAGGGGAGATTCACCGATTCTACTACCTATCAGAGATTGGCCAATCCATGGAAGAAGCATGACAACATGCCACTCTGACAACCCTCGCTGCACCTCACAGCGTGCCTGACGTGCATAAGAGGTGATCGTCTGTATTGATGTACCAGCCTTTAACAGATGGTGTGCTTGGATTCTTTGGAGCCAGTTGCCATCGTGGCTTGGAGCCCCTTTCCTGAGTTTGTACATGGTAGTTATAGGGCTGATTTTATCAGACTGTTTACTCTAATTACGGTAGTCTGAAATCTCAGACCGGTTTTTTTGTGCAAACCTGAATTTCCAGATACTGTAATCTCCCGGGATAATGGACCCCATGGTCTTCACAGAAATACCTAGGAAGGTAGACATGGATGGAAGCTTTTAGGACCCATGGATGGAAGTTGCGTATTAGGACCCATGGATGGAAGTTATTAACCTAGGACCCATGTGCAATTATTTCACACCATAAGACTTTTGATTTCAGTGTACTAGAACCGTTCTACATAGGGAGCTGTATTTGTAACGAGGAGTAGCGACTCTTCTTCCAAGCCGCGAGAGTGGCACGCTGCACGATTCTAGCCATGGTGCAACTTGTTGGAGTTATGGGAGTATCTCTTAGATTACGAGAATGATGACTAGAAAGAGAAATATGGAACATATAGCAGTTGGGTTGTACTCACTACGAGCACACACCGATACTAGCCTATAACTTCTACACGCATGACATGTATAAGCTGACACACCCCCTAGGCTAGAGAAAGGGGTGGTGCAAGCATGAAGCACACAGCTCAGGGCGGCACTACTAGTCCAACCACTGAGGCAGGGGTCCAAAGACCAGTCAACAAGAGTACAGACAAGACAAAAGCAAGCCAGGGCGGCACTACTAGTCCAGCCACTGGGAGTAAAGCCACAAGGCTAGTCAGACAGGTATATATAGTGAGGAGTACACAATCAAGGTCCTAGCAAGTGGGCTGCTACAGGAACGAGACCAAGCTGTACACAGTGTCGCTGATGATCTTTAGGCGCAAGCGCCTTAGTAAAGATATCAGCTGTGTTGGCACCGGAGGCCAAGTGAACTAAGCGGGCCTGGCGACGCTGCTGTAGCTCGCGCAGGAGGAAGTACCACAGCTGGATATGCTTCGCTCTGCCCTCAAGTCGAGGCTCCTGACACAGGAGAATCATGGCCCTGTTGTCAGCGTACAGGACCAGGGCAGAGCTAGGCAGCTCACCTAAGTCTGTGAGCACGAAGGTCAGCCAGCGAAGCTCCTGCGCCGCCATGGCACCGGCGTAGATCTCAGCCTCACAGCTGGACTGGGCAACAGACGACGAGGGAGTGGATCTCCAAGAGATTGCACCCGAACCAAGGCTAAAACAGTAGCCCTGCGACGACCTGAGAGTCTCTGCGTCGTCTGCCCAAGAAGCCTCTGTGTGCCCAGTAAGGACCACTGGCCTGCGTCCTCCAAGCACTAACCCGATGCCCGATGTACTTGCTAGATATCGCAAAACCCTCTTAGCGGCCGACCAGTGCTCAGGTCAGTGTCTGCCGGTGGCCACAAAGCGAGCCAGGATGCTGAGAGCGTATGCGAGATCTGGTCGAGTGCAAGTCATCAGGTACATGAGGCAACCCACCAGCTCTGCGTAGGGGCCACTGGGCTCTACTGGCTCCTTAGGAACGGGAGCAGAGAGCCCATGGTCTACAGGTAGAGGTGTGGGCTGTGCGGAGGAGAACTGAAGACCGAACCTCTGAAGGACCTGACGCACCAAGTGTGACTGTGTCAGAGTGATGGTGCGTGTTGCTCTGTCCCTAGAGATCTGCAGGCCAAAATAGCGACGCAGCTCTCGAAGGTCAGTGCAGGTGTGTCTCTTCAGCAGCTCGGCCTTCACAAAGGCCAGTGCGTCCCTGTCAGCAGTAGCAAAGACCAAGTCGTCTACGTAGACAAGGATGTAGAACGGAGTCTGGCCGGAATGCACAAACAGCGAGGGGTCAGCAGAGGACGGAAAGAACTACAGGTCTGCTAGCGTGGCACGCAGCGTATCGTGCCACTCGCGAGGAGCCTGGCGCAGGCCGTAGACCAGGCGCCTGAGAAGCCACTGGGTCCCAGGGGGGAAGGTACCAGTGAAGCCCTGTGGTCGGCGCAGGTAGACCTGCTCGTGTAGGCTGCCCTGAAGAAAGGCAGTAGAGAAGTCGAGGGAGTGCAGCCCGTAGTCGCGCTGTGCTGCTACGTGTAGCAGCGCCCGAAGAGTAGTCATCTTCGGGGTCGAGGCGAAGGTCTGGAAGAAGTCTACGTCCTTGCGTTGGCTGAAGCCTCTAGCCACGTAGCGCTCCTTGAAGACAGGCGGCTCTCCAGGGGGGCACTTCACCTTGAAGAGCCAACGGCCATCGACTACGTTCACCCCACTCGGGGGAACTGCGTCGACGTTAGTGCCGGTGGACCTCCAAGATGCCATCTCCTGCTCCATGGCAGCTATCCACTGAGAGGCCCAGGGTCCCGAGGTGGCCTCAGCGTAGGTGCGAGGGGTCGGGATGTTGAAGGCGTCTGGGTCACCCTCTGGGACTAGGAGCATGGAGCAGAGATGGGGAGCGGCCTCGGAAAGGAAAGCAAGCTCGTACTGGCGGTCCTCCAGGACGTCACTGCCAAGGGCAGGTGCACCCCCGACGGACGGAGGACGGGCAGGGTCAGAGACCAGAGCGGTAGCGTAGTCAAGGCGGCGAGTAGAGGCGAAGTCAGCGATAGCAGCGACAAGCGCGTCAAGGCACGAGACAGGAACAGACGGGTCTGTAACAAGAGAGGCAAGGACCCGAGGGACAAGGGGACGAGCGGCACGGAGGTAGTCAGACAACGGGGGAGGTGCAATAACAAGCGACGAGGGAGGAGGCGAGGGGTGGAGGGGAGGACTAGACGAGTGGGAACGGAGCAACATAGGGTGGGAGCGTAGGACAAGAGAGACGGGACGAGCACGTGAGGGACGGCAAGACCAAACGTGGGACGGAGGTGTAGGGTCAGGAGACAGCGGAGGGGACACAAAGGGGAACGAGGAGGTTGCCGGGCCGAAGAAGAGTCGGGGGGCGGGAAAACAGGGCCGTAGACAGGAAGGTGAGCAGGTTGTGGGGAAGACACCGGTGAGCGGTCAGGAGAGGGAAGGCCGAGCAGGCAAAGAGCAAAAACCGGCTTTGACGGCTGCTGCAGCGGCTGGTGCTCAACCCTCGGACCGGCAGGAGCACTACGACCGCCGGGAGAACACCCAACGGCAGCACCCCCAGAACCAACACCCCCAGAGCGAGAACTCCCTCCAGCACCAGCGGCACCCCCAGGCCCTCCGGAGCAGACCACACCAGGGGCCGCAGGACGAGCACCCTCCTCAATGCCAGCACCCCCAGAGGCCAAGAGCGGTAGCGGCGGCGGCGGCGGTGGCAGCGGCGGCGGCTGCGACGGCGGTGGCAGCGGCGGCGGTGGCGGCGACGACAGCGGCGACAACGACGGCGACTGCCACAGTGGAGGGGGGGACACCGGAGGGGGGGGGCGCGGCACACACGGGTCGAGGGGACAACCAGAGTCAGCAGACTCCTCAACGGGGACAACCGAAGGGAAGGGAGTTACATGGGAGACACCAGACGGGGCAGGACGAAGCGGGAGGGGAGCAGGGGCTACCGGGAGAGAGGGAGCAAGGAACAGGGGGGGGGAAACCGGGAGACCTCGGTGAGGGAAGCGACGGAAGAAGGAGACCGACTCATCAAAGGTGGCGTCATGAGAGTGAAGGAAGCGGTGAGACTGCGGGTGGTAGAAGAGCCAGTCAGACGAGTCCAGGGGGAAACCGAGGAAGACAAAGGGGACAGTGCGGGCAGTGAGCTTGTCCGTGCCAGAGGCACGAACGTGAGCAAGGCAGCCCCAGACGTGGAACGCAGACGCGTCACCGGGGGACCCCGTCCAAAGAAGGGTCGGCAAAACCTGCGGCCGCTGGGAGCGTGGCCACAAGTTAAGCTGGTGAGCAGCATAGCAAACAGCGAACGGCCACAGAAAATGGGGGGCATCGGCGTGAATCATGCAGGTACGAGCAACCTCCATGACCAAGCCGATGCGGCACTCAGCAACCCCATTCTGTTGTGGCGAGTCCGGCAGGGTGTACGACTGGGTGATGCCCTCCGCACGACAGAACTGTCCAAGCGGACCATAGACGAACTTGCCGCCACGGTCGAAGTGGAGACACAGCACAGGGAGACCGCGGTGAAGACGTGCAGCTACAACCCACGGGAGAAGAACGTCGGGCACGTCGGCCTTCCGCTCCAGGGGAAACACCGTGGTGTAGCGCGTGTAGTCGTCGACGAGCACAAGAAAGTAGCGCTCACCGCGCGGTCCGGGGACGGGGGCTGGGCCCCAAATGTCCAGGTGCAGGGTCTGAAGGGGAGCAGTAGCAGGGCGAAACGAGGAGGAGTGAGGGGCACGGCGGAGCCGGCCCTCGACGCAAGGTGTGCACGGTGGCGCAGGCGAGGGGGGAAGTGCGGGGAGCGACTCGGGGAGGCCTAAGACAAGACCGTGCTGTACATGTGACGCAGGCGTGGGAGAGCACGGTGACCTAAGCGGTGGTGCCACAGAAGGGACGGGTGTGTGAGGGACCGACACGAGCAAACTGCAGCGACGTGGGAGGACGCACCAACCGAGGGGGAAGCGGTGTCGAGGGTAAACAGACCGGACACCGGGTCCCCGGGGAACGTCGCAAGGGGAGAACCTGAGACAACCTCGGTACAGACAGCGAACCGCTCGTGCCCAGGGAACGTAGTGGTGATGCCAAGGTCCTGAAGACGGCCGACACCAACCAGGTTCCTGGAGAACGAGGGAACGTGGAGGCCTGTAAGAGAGCTCGAGGGAACGGCTGGACAGGGTAGGGAAGTGGAGCTGCGAGCGACAACAGGTCCCGCGGAGGGATCAGCGAGAGCGACAACAGCAGACGCAGCAAGCGGCATCAGCGAGGAGCGGTCGCGGAAGAAGCAGGCAGAAGCACCGGAGTCGAGAGTGAAGGACAGTGAGGCAGTAGCGGAGGCCCGGAATGGAGCTGGTGCAAAAACTAGGCTAGGCAAACTAGGCAGTCCGACGCCTGACGCAGCAGGGGAGGCTAAGCTACACAAGGGTGCTACGCCTAAACTAGAGTACACAAGGTAATAAGATCCAGCAACACTAGAAGCGTCAGCATACAAGGCATGCAAAGCAGCACCTATCTGATCGATATCTAACTCAAAGATCGGCATGCCCTGGCGAAGCAGGCTGTGCCAGTTGGGGAGGTCCGGGGCCGGGCCAAAGCGACGATGAAAGAGATCGTCGAGGCGGCGGAAACGGCGGGCGGTCGGGTGCGGGCGGCGGCACAGAGTGCCGCGGAGAGGCCCGGTTCGAAGCTGGTACTGAGAGGTCACACCAACGGAGCTGTCGGTAGA